GGGAGGGGGGAAGGGGGGGGCGGAGGGACTCGGTGCTGAGAAGGGAGGAAGAGAGACCCGCCGAGGATCAGTCCCTCTTACTTCCCTGCCCGGTGTGCTTACGGCAAGGGGAGGGTAGCTCTCAAGAACAAACTGTGCGCGTAAACACACCTGGGTGTATTTAAATGTGCTAGATTACACTATCCTCTAGTTACTTAAAAGGGTGAGGTGGGTAGTGATGGGTTAACACGGCAAATTCTCCAAGATACACTAAGCACACAATGATATCTAAAGTGTGAGCCTATTTGTGTAAAAGCAAAAGCAGTGCTGCTGCTGGTGGTGGTGGTATACATATACACACACAATATATATAGATATGTTTGTGTATGCATAGAAAGTATCTGAAATTGTTAGTACAAGCGGTGGTTATCCCTAGAAGGGAACTAGAGATGGGGGTGGAGAGGGAATTTTAACTTTTCATTTCTGATTCTACTGAATCTCCCTTAACAAAATCCCGGGTGAAAAAAAAATTAACTGACTTTATTTTTCTGTTAACTTAATTTTTACTTTGGACCCTCTTTTTTTGTTAGTTTTGTTTTTTAAACTTTGAATCAGTTCTGCGATTCTTCACTCCTTTCCTTGGGAGCCTATATAGTACAAAGAAGTAAGGAAAGTATACTGGACACAGAAGCCATCATTCTTGATGTGTTTGTCCACACTGATGCATGGTGATAGTATTGTTGTCTTTTCTGGTTCTGAATTGTTAGTCCATTCAAGTCTTCTTGGAAGTGCTCTGCAGTTCATAGATCGTTAGTCCTGCCCATAGATCATTTACATTAAGGTTTAAGTGGTTGACTTACCAATATTATTTCTAAAATATTTAAATGTGAATGAGATACAAGGCTTTACCCAAATAAAAAAAGTAAATGCATCTGTAAGGTATAATTCAGGCATTCTGTCAGGCAGAGGTTCTTAATTTGTAGTTTATGGAGATCCTGGGAGATCCATGAATGGGATCCATGAACTTCTTGAAAACTGAGTGCAGAGCAGTATCCACTCGTGTTTTTTTTTTTTTTTCCTGTGACAAAGCTCCATAGCTTTTAGCAGATTTTCAAAAGCCTCTAAATTCCACTGACTAGGAATTATAGAAACAATAGTGAACAAGGCTAAAAGGGTCTCTGACCTTGGGACAAAAGACAAACAGGTGATATGTTCTATGAATGGGAAAATATGAGTGTTGTTGAGAGCAAGGAGAAGGCCACCTAAACCAGATGAAGTGCTGGGTGTCAGCAAAGGCTCTTCGAAGAAATTGACTATAAAACTGAGCTAGAGGAGAGTAGCATTTGACCTTGTAAAGGGGAGTTGTGGAAGGTGCTACTGGTAGAAGGAAGGGTGTTCCAGAATTCTGCCTGTACAAAGGTCCAGAGTCAACAACTACCTTGGCAGTTCATAGGCTAAAAAGAACTTGTATGGTTGAAGTGTAAAGTGCTGAGAGTTAGACTGGGTTATCAGTAAGAGATGATGCTGGGAGGTGGTCAGAAACCAGGTTGTGTGTGTGATGCTGGGGTTACAGGAGGAAAAAGGCAAAGGGGTCCTTACTTTCAGAAAGTTTTATTTCAATAAGGAGAAACAATGAACAACTAAGGAAACAAGATGATTTTAATAAACAGGGTGAGATAGTGAATGGTGGCTACATATGTATCAGGGGAAGTTTCTTTGGACAGATCTGTATACCATGTGTCACCACATGGATTAGAGGGTTTCAACAAAAGTGGTGGGAGGAATGGAGATAATTGGATAGATTTGAAAGACATTGAAGGAGTAGAAGCAATAGGATTTAGTAGTTTACTGGCTATTAATAATTACAAATAACAGTAGCTTCTATTTATTGAACACTTACTAAGAAGCTCTCAGTATATTTTTTCTCATTTACTTCTATAAAAACTCTGCAAGGCAGGCACTTTTTTTTATTTTGTACATGAGAAAATCACAGAGGCACAGAGAATTAAAAAACTTGTCTAAGGTTCCAAAATAAAGGAACCAGAATTCAAACTCAAGTCTGTCTCAGTTCAGACCCCTGTTGGGCAGAAGCGGCAAAGGAGGAAGAGTGGATTTAGGGCCGAGGCATGAGTAGGAGAAAGGGGATACATTTGAGATTTGTAGAATTTGGGGTATCTTTGATGACCTATGTGGAGATGTCCAACAGGCAAATGAATAAGTGGGTATAAAGCTCAGAAGAAAGATGTAGGTCAAGGAATAGATCTGTGAGTTGCTAGCACAGAAATGTTTCTGGAGCCATAGAGTAGGTGAGGCCATCACAGGAAAGTATACACAAGAATTAGAATAGAACTGCAAGGAGTGCCAACTTTAAGGAAAAGCAAAGAAAGAATCTCCAAGAAAATGTGGCCATAATAGTTGTAAGACGAAAATCAGGACAGGACAGTAGCATCATGGGAGTTAAAGGAAGAGAGAGTTTCAATGGGAGAGTAATCAGCAATGTTATATTCTGTTTAAGAGGTGAAATAAGATAAGGACCAAGATGTGTCTATTCATGGTAGTAGCAAGAAGTTTATTAGTTACCTAAGAGGACTGTCTTTGGGGACTAGTGGAGATAGAATACCATTTAGTGGGTTGAAGAGTAAGTAGCCGGCAAAGAAGGTGAGGTGGTGAGTATAGACAAGTTGATCAAAATGCTTGCTTTTCTGGAGCTGAGAATCCAGAGTTCAGATGATATGCGAGGTCCCTCACTAAGTAGAGATCACGCTGATAGTGTTGGGGGTCTCCTTTACCTCCTCATGAAAACACATGTCCCTTTCTTTCCAGCCATTTCTTTTCTGCCCCCCCCCGCTCTTAATCCTCTGCCTTACCTTTCCCCTACCCCCCTTTTCCTTAAAATACTCCAGTTCTGGGAAAAACAATATTGATTGTTTTCTACCTGTAGATCACTGCCAGGAGGGCTATGGGAAAGATATGCTCCCAGTACAAACACACTCCCAGTGTGGCCAGGTACTCACCATCTGCCTTTCTTTCTTTCTAGGCATATACTAATTGAGCTTCCGCCATGGAGAAATTCCATGGGTGTATATCTGCTCACCCAGATGTCCTCTCCTTGGAGAACCAGTGTCTGGTCATGCTTCCTGACCTGAAGACCATGGAGAAACCACATGGACATATGTCTTCCCACCCAAATATTCTCTCCTTGGAAAACCGGTGTCTGGCTTCACTTCCCAACCTGAAGACCCTAGAGAAACCACATGGGAATATTTCTGCCCATCCAGATGTCCTCTCCTTGGAGAACCGGTGCCTGGCCACCCTCCCCAGTCTAAAGAGCAGTGTGTCTGCCAGCCCCTTGTTCCAGTGTCTCCAGAAATCTCACATGGAGCAAGCTGATTTGTACAGCCAGAACACCAGTAGTTGCCTGCTCTCTGAGGCTCCAACTTGGAGGGTTCAGTCTTTTTCTAAGAGACTAGACTTTCTGACCTGCCCCATGACCCTGAAATCCATCTCTGTCACAAAGACAGCTCAGGAAACAGTTTTGGTAATAACTCCAGGCACTCATCTTGATTCCAGCCATTTGCTATAGTCACTAGCTTTCAGTATCTCATTTTCCCTCTAAGCTGTTGTGTGTGGATATCTTCTCAGAGCTCTTCTGAGGTGCCTTTTACACCAGGGCCATCTTCATCAGTATCATTGTTCTTATTGCATATCTGGCTTGGAGATTCTGAACAATAGATCAAAAACAGTCTCTGTACTTAGGAAGTCTGTGCTCAGGAAAGCCAAAAGATATTGCTACAGCTGGATCATTCAGGTGCTTTTGAGATCAGGCATGAGACACATCTGCTAATTAATTTTCCAACAGCCTATTAGGACCTATCATAGGGCCCACTTCCCAATGTGTACATATGCAAACACACATCCACTTTTACACATTTGCATACACATTTTTAGTTCACAGTTCAGAAATGGTAGACAAACACACATTGCTTCTGTATATACTTGTCATTTGGGAGGGAAAAGGCTAATCTGAACTCTATACTGTCTCTGCCAATTACAAATTATACCACCTTGGGCAACCTCTTAATACTTTAGAGCCTTAATTTCCTAACCCCTGCAATTCAGTCAATGAAAATCTACTTTATAGAGTTTTGTCAGGATTACAATTACTTACACTGATTTAGGGCTTTGCAGTTTGCAGAGTCATGCATACATTATTCCATTTAATTTTCAACAGTCTATCAGGTAGGTGGTAGTGAATGAAGTAGCTGAGGTTCAGAGAGGTTAAGCAGCCCAAGGCTTCAGGAGGATTGATACAGACTTGGCCTCTTCTGACCCCCAAAATGTCTTAATAGCATCCTAGAAACTGTGTGAGAGGCCCCATACTCCTAGCCTGTGACATAATTAAGGAGATGAAACCAAGGGAAGATTATAAGGCATCTGGGCTAAGGCTCAGATGGTTGAGTAGGGAAAGGTGGTGTATGAGAGTGTGAAGTCAGAGACAGGACAGATTGATGCTGTTTGAAGGGAAAGGAGCTTATAGTTGCTAAATACAGATATAGACTCTTCCTATCTCTGGGAGCTGCCTTCAGATCTGTCTGTGTTTGAAGGGTCATGGGTACATGCTGTTATTCATAATTGCCACTATTCCCAGGATCATCAGTCCTATTCAGAAGAAGAGAAAAAGGCTGAAGAAAAGGAAGGGGCAGAGACCCAAATGCCTTTTTATAATCTGAGCTTGGGAGAGGAAGAGAAGGTGGAGGAGTTGGCCCTGAAGCTAACCTGTGGGGACTCTGTATCTTGTTCTGAGCCAACTGACCAGATCCTTCAAGAAAAGAAGGTGAGCTGGGCACGGTGGCTCACGTCTATAATCCTAGCACTTTGGGAGGCTGAGGTGAGAGGATTGCCTGAGCCCACGGGTTCGACACCTGCCTGGGCAACTTGATGAGACCTCATCTTTACAAAAAATCAGCCGGGCATAGTGGCGTGTGCCTGTAGTTCCAGCTACTTGGAAGGCTGAGGCAGAAGGATCGCCTGAGCCCAGTGGGTCGAGGCTACGGTGGCCGGGAGCGTGCCATTGCCCTCAGCCTGGGTGACAAGCTGAGATTCCAACTCCAAAAAAAAGAAAGAAAAGAAAAGAAGGTGAAAGTTCCAGAGTTGGGGAAAGATTGATGATGGTGGAAGAGAGGGCAAATAAGAACAATCCAGTTCTTATTCCTCACTTCCTAATCCCCTTTTCTAATGCCCCAGTTGGACCCTAAATCTGGAGTTCGTTCTTTCTGCCCTTGATTTTGTAAGCTGGTCTGCATGGATATTTAAGTTGGTCTTTATTACCTCTTTTCTCTCTTTCTCAATTCCCAGATGGCTCTAATGAACTTGCTGTGCTCTACTTTGGTCTCAAATATGAACATAAAACATGAAGGTGACCCTACCCAGGTTTCCATCCTTGAAGTCTGTAGTGAACTTGCCCCCTTGGAGCCTGAGTTTATCCTCAAGGTATTGTGGTTTGAAGGAGAAGGGAGTGGGAAGCTGGGAGATAGGGAATGTGGTATGTGGGGAGTGGTGACTAGCCTCATTTTGGGGGTGGGAGGAGCTTCACTTAGAAAGGGTCTCTCTCTGGGTTCTGGGCCTAGTCTCTGAGGTTCATTAAGAGTGGGAAAAGATTATACTGTGATTGATTTGTTTAGTAAGTACCTAGGCAAAGTATGCGATGCTAGGCCTTGAGGGTCAAGCTACAGATAAAATAAACTTGGTTCTTGCTCTTAAGGAGCTTATAGTGTTGCTAAGGAAGCAAAGCACTTTCCCAAATATCATGTACGTGTAACTGGAGTAGTAGATAGTGAATGTGTCTGAAGCAGAGAAAAGGGGGTAAATGTTTTCTATGAGGCCTTTGGGCGATAGCAGATTTAATCAATGGTTTAGACCCTGGGTAAGTTTTGGATAGACACTGATGCAGGAGATCTTCCAATGAGGGAATGGACCTGGTTGACTTGGAAGTTGGTAGGCTCTGAAGAAGACATGCCGGAAAGGTGAATGAAGGCTAGAGTATGAAGGACTTAGAATGCCACACCAAGAGCCTGGGCTTTATATTTTGTAGACAGTATGGCATGCTTAGGAAAGGTTTTATGCAAGCATATTCAGTCAGCAAGTTAGTTCAGGGCATGATGTTATGGGAGAAGTCTTGAAATCCCCACTTTGTGCCCCAGGCATCTTTGTACACCAGGCAGCAGCTGAATGTCCGTAATGTGGCCAATAAAGTCTTGGCCATTGCTGCCTTCTTGCCGGCCTGCCGGCCCTACCTGCGACAATATTTCTGTGCCATTGTCCAGCTGCCTTCTGATTGGATCCAGGTAGCTGAGTTCTACCAGGTATGTTACTCATTTCTCTCTCTTGTTCTCACTGTATCCCTGGAAAAATTCTGTTTGGCTTCCCCTCAGCTTTTCTTAACATTGGTGCCCAGATAGGACAGCTTCTCCCCATCCCAGGCTTGTTTGTCCAACATGGAAAATATAATTAAGAAGGGTTTGATCAAAGTTTGAGAAAAAATGATCTTATTCTGAACCTTATGTTTCTATTGAACAAGATAAGAATCAGAAAAGTCTACTGACTCACTCAGTACTACAGAAATTATAATTTTAGAACTGGGGCTGGGATCTTGCTTCCTATTCTGTGCTTCCCATATAACTCTATGAAGTGGTCTTATTTTGTTTTGGAGGGTCTGTTTGGGCCTCACTTCTAATGGTTTCCTCTCTCTTTGACAGAATCTGGCTGAAAAAGATGAGAACAAGCTGGTACCCCTGCCTGCTTGCCTCCGTGCTGCTATGACTGACAAATTTGCCCAGTTTGATGAATACCAACTGGCTAAGTACAACCCTCGGAAACACCGGGCCAAGAGACGCCCTCGCCGGCCCCCTCGCTCTCCAGTTAGTCCCTAGGCATTCATAACTCAGGCCTCTTTTCTCTGGAAAGGGAAGAACAAGAAATCATCATGACCCTGAGGAGTCCTACACCAGGAACCAAAGAAGTCAGAGAAATCCAGGGGAGCTGGGTAGAGCTCGGGGGTAGAGAGAGAGAGAGCAGGACAGACTTCTTTCCTAGCTGAATTCCTTTTTGGTAGAGATACTCCTTCAGGGCTATTGAATGTGCTTTGTCGGGGACAACCTCTATTTCCCTTTTCAAACCTGCTGTCTCTGTCTCTACAGAATATGGAGCGTTCATTTTCTAGGAAGTGTTTTCCAAGGCTCTTTCGATTTCTTAAAGAGGAACAGATAAAGGTGAGCCACTTGTTCTGGGGTTATATATATGCTTGTGCAGGCTTTTCCAGGCTAGTATTTAGAAACAAAATTCCATTCTGTTTAGAAATACCAACAATGGGTATGGTAGATGTATACCTATTATTTTCTGCTTGGAATTCTCAGCTGTGATTGTGGGTCAGATTCTGAGAATACTGGGAAAGGGTTATGTGGTTTTTTTTTTCTTTTCATTTCACTCTTCTTGGTGATGTGTGATGTGTCCAGTTGGATAAGTGAGGTTTAAAACATTATGAAATATCTACTTCCTGTAGGAAGTTTTGGAAAACAAATCAAACAAAATATTTATTTTAATGACAAATAAAGCATTGTACTTAGCAGTTAAGAGCTTCGACTTTGAATTCTGATCACCTGAGTTTGAATCTCACTTCCACGCCTTGCTGGCTATGAAACTTTGGTCAAATGGTTTAAACTCTCTTGTCTCAGTTTCTTTATATATAAAATGAGAATAATAGCAGAACACATTTTTGGGTTGTTGTGAGGATTAAATCAGCTACTGTTTTTAAAGTATTTTTAAACAATTCCTGGCACTAAATATGTGTTAGCTATCATCATCATTATTAAAACAGATTGTTAGGAAAAAACACATTCTCAGGTGGCCAACTGATCTTTCCTCTGCATCCTATTAATATATACTAAACTTAGCTCTTCTACCATAGAAGTTTCTAAAAGCCAACTTCTTTCAGTTTTTTAACTCCTCATGGCCTGCATTGTGCTGCTGCTTCCATTTACTTGTTGAGTCTCTTTAAATAAGAGCTGATTTCCCTTTTCCTCCCACTAAGAACAAGGATGTTCCCTGCACATTCTATCCCAATCTTGTTTTTCACAAGCTAGTCATCCCATGTTAGTTACTGAGAGTTCAGTCTTGTGTGAATAAGACAGTAACCCCAAAAAGCTGCTAACTTATGGTCATCATGGGGGCTCTGCTTACTGGAGATTTGTACCCTCTTCCTACTGTTTGCTCAAATCTATTTTGAGGAAAGAAATTACCTCATAGGTATAGGATAGTCTTAGGCTCTGCTTTATGAAGAAAATGTTTGTGATCATGGATGAAATGACCCCTGTGGGACTTGGGGATGTTTCTGCAGTTTGAGAAGTCCTACAGTGCAGCGTCAGAGAAAAATAATCTACCAAGGTTCACCCTAAAGAAGTTGGTTCAGCGACTGCACATCCAGGAACCTGCCCAGCATGTCCAAGCCCTACTGGGCTGCAGGTGAGGAGCTTCACTCTGAGTGTACATTCCATCTAGGTAACTTGTTGACTTTTCAGTGTCCATAGCTTCTATCCCAGTAGTTTTCAATGCCAGCAATGTGAGTTTGGGAAGACATGGCCTGTGAACACGACTGACTTGCTTTCACTGACTCACCTTTTCCTTTTTTGCATTATTTTCTTGCCAGCTTTGAAATGATAGGCTCTTTCTTTTCTATTCCAGATACCCCTCCACCCTACAACTATTTTCTCGAAGTCGCCTTCCTGGGCCATGGGATTCTAGCAGAGCTGGGAAGCGGATGAAGCTTTCTAGGCCAGAGACCTGGGAGCGGGAGCTGAGTCTGCGGGGGAACAAAGCATCTGTCTGGGAGGAACTCATTGGTAGAGTGACCTTGACTATCACTTTCCTTTCTTTTCCTCATTTATACCTCTACATTTTAGACCTGGACTAGATTTCTGTGGCATGATGCAGTTTTTCTTTTAACTGGTAGTTGTGTCATTGAAAATGGTTAGATTTATAATGTCTGCCATTGGCTGCACCATAGTGGACAGTGGTACCTGCTTTGAGTAAAGTTAACACCATAGATCATTATTCCAGATGTGGTTAGGTAATACACAAGTCTTTATCAACATATGACAAAAGTGATACACTCTCTCTGTGTATCAATATTTGTTTAATTCATTCCTAACAAGGTAGGATTGGCCCATGGTATATTGGAAGCCTATATTTAGGAGATAGAAATTTTAGGTAATTTGCCCACATTGGTAAAACACAAAATTCAAATTGGGGAGGATCAAGTTACCGTCAATCTTCTCTTTCTTTTTGTTTTTCTTGCTAGTTTATTTTTAACTATAGAAGACTATTTTCACCTTGTTTCCTTTATTTCCTTTTTCATCCTTGAAAATTTAAAGTTAATTTTTTTCTGTTGAAAAACATTTAACTTTAGACCTTTTGACTGCTTGAATTTTATTAACTACTTATTTTGTAGCTTTAGCAGCCCAAATTGTCTTTTACCTTATTTCTTTGTGAACTATCCATTATAGATTGCACTCAGGGCAGCTTGAATTGCTTAGCTACTTGACATTCCTTTCATTTTGTGTTTGTCATGGTGGTGTATGTATCAGAATCACTTGGGAATTAAAACACACACACACACACACACACACACACACACACACACACACACACACACACACTCCCCACCTGACAACCTCTTCTTATTAGTTGAAATGGTTTGGGATGGAATAAAATAAAGGGGGGCTGGGTGGCTGCTAGAATATGTAGATGATTCTGTATGCATCATCTTCACTTCCTCCCTCTGGTTGAGAACCACTGTCCCTGAAAATGTAAACTGTGTCATTTATCTTGGGTGAGGCAAATGCCCATAGTCTAATCCAGTGACCTCTAGAATTTTTTTGATCCTGTACTGCAAAAACAATTTTTGGACTACACCAGAATATACATATATGTATGTGTGTGTGTATTTAAAATGATATATTATGCAAATATATTTATATAAAATTATATACATATACTGATATGTACTTTAGGGAATGCATAAAATATAAATATACTTATAAAAATAAATAAAAGGAAATATGAAAACATATACATATCAGCATAAAATATAAGACAAAATGTAATTATGTATTCAGACTTCTTTTTGGAGACCACATTTCTCATTAATAACTCATTAACAAACTTTTGCAATGAAATCTGAATTTTTCAGTCTGAAGGATAAATGTTCAGTTTATTTTCTAGTATCACAAATATGATATTGGACTTAATTTCTTATCAAAAATGATCTCAAAAACCATTCATACATAGCAACAATTGAGAGAAACTTGAGTTGACAATGGATACAATAATTCATTTATAGTACATATACAACCTAATTGTTTCATGAAGTTTGTGAGTCAGAATTATGACTGGAGAATTCCAGGACTTCCAGAAGGCTGACAGCTTCTAGCTATAATTCAGTCTTAGATCACCTTTACAAAGGCACCATGACTCTCCTGATGGAAATTGCTGATAGCATGGGCTAGTGTTCAAGGTGGGGTGGCAGACTGGCAGACTTGATCTCTAAAGTGGTCTGAATGCACCTCTGAGCATGTCCAGGAAAAATATCACACCTTCTATTTATGTTTACTTTGATCTGAAAGAAAATAATGTTCCCATTATTCATTATGCAGATCAAATCCATATAGACAGTCTGTATGTAATAGGGTTATGTGTTACATATCATAGTTGAGGTTTATTTGGGAAAGCGTAGGAGTTCTATAATCTGAGGGCACTGATGGTGCCCCTTCACTCTTTTTTTTTTTTTGGTTCTTGCATTATGTGACTTATAGCAGCATATCTTTGAAGTATATATATAGAGAGAGAATTATGTTATTTAGTACTAACCAAACTAACCCTCTGAAATTGACAGAAGCTTTAAAAGATTATTATTAAGAAACTATGGCTTAAAGATAATACTAATATCACAGGGAAAAGCAAACAATAAGAAAGTGATAGAAGTGAAATTTTTTTTTTTTTTTGAAACAGGATTTCATTCTCACTTAGGCTGGAGTGCAGTGTTAGGAACCCAGCTTACTGCATACAGCCTTGGCCTTCAGTCTCCCAAGTAGCTGGGACAATAGGTGTGTACCACCATGCCCAGCTGATTTTTGTAATTTTTTTTTTGTAGATATGATGTCTTGCTATGTTGCCTAGGCTTGTCTTGAACTCCTGGGCTCAAGTGATTCTCCTGTCTCAGCCTCCTAAAATGCTGGAATTATAGGCTTGAGCCACCACACCCGGCCAAGAGGTGAAATTCTACTCCAGTGTAAATCTTTTTCACCTATATTTAAATGAAAAATGACGCCTATTTAATTAGATCTTATAAGAAATTGGCAAAAAACTTATAAATTATCCAGAAGATTATTTAAAATATATATTTTTATTCATTATTATAAATGGTGAACCTTACCTTAAATGTATATTATGCCTTGAAATGTTAACTAATGCATGTACCATATGTATACAATTTATAAGTAAACTTACACTAGGAAATTTCTCTTAGCCATCTAGAAAGTCTGGAAGCTATTGCTCTAGAATAGAGAATACAGTTTGCCAGTGGAACCCAATTTCAGGGTAGAGCCAGCAGATTAAGTGGTAGCATAAGTTGTTTATTGAAACAGCCATTCCACAGACAGTGTTGTATAAATTTTGCTCCAAACTTCAGGTTAATCCTGTTTTTATCTTTCCAGACCTTTAAAACATTTTGAGTAGACTAGATTTAGATTATATGTCAATTTTTCATTTCTCCATCTTTAACTTTCTTTTTTTTTTTTTTTTTTGTCGGAGTCTCACTCTGTCATTCAGGCTGGAGTACAGTGGCTGCTCCTGGCCACTGCAGCCTTGACCTGCTGGGCTCTGGCGATCCTTCCGCCTCAGTCTTCCAAGTAACTGGAACTACAGGTGCACGCTACCACACCTGGCTGATTTTTGATTTATTGTAGAGATGAGGTCTCGCCAAGTTGCCCAGGCAGGTCTCGAACCTGCGGGCTCAGGCAATCCACTCACCTCAACCTCCCAAACCGCGGGATTACAGGCTGAGCCACTGAGCCCGGCTCCATCTTTAACTTTCTACATGACTGGCCTCTGAACTTCTTGCTCTGGTCTCTGACCTCTCTCTCACTCTCTTATTTCTCTCTCATCTCTCATCAATTGCATTACCTTTTCCTTAGAGACCAGGGTCTCACTGTGTTGTCCAGGGTAGCCTTGAACTTATGGCTCCAGGGCTCAAGTGATCCTCCTGCCTCAGACTCCTGAGTGGCTGGTATTACAGGCCACTGTGCTGAGCCTCCACATTTACTTTTCTTACCCTGTATACCTTACCTCCCACAGAAAATGGGAAGCTTCCCTTCATGGCCATGCTTCGGAACCTGTGCAACCTGCTGCGGGTTGGAATCAGTGCCCGTCATCATGAGCTCGTCCTCCAGAGACTCCAGCATGCGGTGTGTGTGAGGGGTTTGTAGTCATAGGGCCCAGCAACTAGAAGTGGGGTATGGAGATACAGTTGTTGCTTTGAAGGCCAGGCTTTTCCAGGTGGCTGAGGAAGGTCATGGCCACCCAGCTATTTCCATGTGAGCTGTAAGTAGGTATGAAAACACAGATAGGATGGGGAAGGGGACAGGTTTCAGGTTCAGTCAATCCTTTGAGAAATTACAACAGAGTATATGAACTTTCATTTTTATTTTCTGAACTCAGCGACTTGCCAGGAAGAGATACTTCTGTGATTTAACTGACTTCAGAGGGAGTCTTAAAAGAAATAGGGTTCCTTCTTTCTTCTTATTCCCCCTTTTCTATACCTCGTCTCCAAATCCATTTTGCCCTTCTTTACCTTCCTACAAAGCTGATAGAGTGGTTACCTCATTGTCCTGGTTCCTGAGACCCCTGAAGCTCCCATACTTCCTGGTCTTCTGCTCATGACCTTGCCCTTGCTTTTCAGAAGTCGGTGATCCACAGTCGGCAGTTTCCATTCAGATTCCTTAATGCTCATGATTCCATCGATAATCTGGAGGCTCAAATCAGAAAAAATGGTATTATCTCCCGTCTTCCAACTGTTTTATGCCTGCCATATATGACAATAAATGAGGCAGCACTGATGTTTTCAGCCTTTTCCATGCAGTCTCAGGGTGTGGGGTGGGCAGAGGTTGGTCAAACACTTGCCAGCCCCAAAGGTTGAGGCTCAGGATACATTACTGGTGGGACAAGATGAGGAATAGAAGTTCTGACTCAGATATTCACCTGTCACCATACAGCATTGCCCTTTCCTTCTAATACAAACCTGATGAAGCAGATAGTGATTAGAAATGCAAAAAAGAAGTATGGCACTCAGAGGCAGCCTTACAACCTATCTCGTCAGGAACTTCGGGCAGCAATGCGGATCCCTCTGATGTTTGAGCAGCTCAAGCGGGAGAAAGTGAAAATACACAAGGCCAGGTATGTGTATGCCGTCCAGGAGCCAAGGGTGGGTAATAAGAGTCATGCTAGCATGGGTTAGAAGTCATCTGGAAACCCCAACTGTTTTTCCGTAAAAACATGCTTGTCAGTCATCCTAATGGCCCAGACTTGCCTGGTTCCAATTGTCTCTTCCACAGCAAACCTAGTCTTTAACACTATCCTGTAGAGAGATTATGAAACAAAATCTATTCCTGGGTCTGTACTCTATTTTTAGTGCTTGTATTATAGTTTCTGTGGGTTCCATGAGTCTGAATAGCATCTCTCTCTTTTTTTTTTTTTTGAGTTGGAGTCTCACTCTGTCGCCCAGACTGGAGTGCAGTGGCCGCTCCACTGCAGCCTCGACCTGCTGGGCTCCGGCAATCCTTCTGCCTCAGCCTTCCAAGTAGCTGGAACTACAGGCACGTGCTACCACGCCCGGCTAATTTTGATTTATTGTAAAGATGAGGTCTTACCAAGTTGCTCAGGTGGGTCTCGAACCCACAGGCTCAGGCAATACACTCACCTCAGCCTCCCAAAGCGCCGGGATTGCAGGCTGAGCCACTGAGCCCAGCTCTCTCTTTCTTTTAGGACATGTTGGTGTCCTCTCTGTGTCTGCTTTGGTTTGTGGGGTTTTTTTTCTTTTTCTTCTCTGTGACATTTGTTTGCTTTTCTTTTTGTTTCTCTTTCTTTATTTTTTGAACTATTCACACTCTTTTTTTTAACACATACATAAAGATCATTATTGTCAAGCAGGCTCAAAGACATACAATTTGTTGTGTAGTCTTGATGAAGTGTCAGCTCTGTGTCCTTTTAAGTGCTTCCGTAATATCTTACATTTATTTTCACTCTAATGCAGTACTAGGTATGAAAACACAAGTAGGCTGGGGAAGGGGACAGGTTTCAGGTTCAGTCAATCTAGTAGTCACTGAGTCATCTAGTAGGACTCAGTGAACAGGAATCTCCTGAATTAGTGGCCGAACACAGGGCCATATAAGAATCGAGCCTAGGCTGGGCACGGTGACCCATGCCTATAATCCCAGCACTTTGGGAGGCCGAGGTGAGAGGATTGCCCAAGCCCACAGGTTTGAAAGCAGCCTGGGCAACTTGGCGAGACCTCATCTTCTACAATAAGTCAAAAAATAAGCTGGGTGTGGTGGTGCATGCCTGTAGTTTCAGCTGCTTGAAAGACTGAGGTGGAATGATTGCCTGAGCCCAGCAGGTCAAGGCTAGAGTGGCCCTGAGCGTGCCACTGCACTCCAGCCTGGGTGACAGAGTGAGACTCCGACTCAAAAAAAAAAAAAAAAAAAAAAGGAATTGAGCCTAGATGCCAGTCCAAATGGTATTTCTCTCCTGACCAGTATGGTAGTCACTAGTCAGCCACATGTGGTATTTAGCACTTTAAATGTGGCTAGTCTAAGTTGAGACATGCAGGATTTTGAAGATAGTCTGAAAAAATAATGGGAAGTATTTTATTCATAATTTTTGGATATTAATTACATGCTGACATAAAATTTTTTATATTAGGTTAAATAAAATATACGATTAAATTAATTTCACCTGTTTTTTTGAATTTGACTATTAGAAAATTTTTAATTATGTGTGTAATTTAAATTTAATTTAATAATATTGGGCAGTACTGGTAAAACTATTAAATTTTTCAGGTTAAAAAAATATAAACCATTTTTAATGAGAATAGGGTAATAGATTCCCATGAAACTGTTAGAATCAATGTTTATCTAGATTTTACCACTTTTTTTTTTAAAGAGATGGAGCCTCTTACTCCGTCACCCAGGCTGGAGGTGATCTTTCTGCTTCAGCTTCCTGAGTAACTGGAACTACAGACGAAGCACACTATGCCTGGCTAATTTTACATTTTTTTTTTCTTTTGGAAGATGTTTTTAAAACAAATACCAGGCCAGGCTCAGTGGCTCAGCCTGTAATCCCAGCACTTTGGGAGGCCGAGGTGAATGGATTGTCTGAGCCTGTGAGTTCGAGACTAGCCCAGGCAACTTGGCGATACCTCGTCTCTACAGTAAATCAAAAATTAGCCGGGCATGTGGTAGTGCACACCTATAGTTCTGGCTACTTGGAAGGCTAAGGCAGAAGCATCACTGGAGCTTAGCAGGTCAACCCTGGGGTGGCCGTGAGTGTGCCACTGTACTCCAGTCTGGGTGATGGAGTGAGACTCAAACTCAAAAAAACCCCAAAAAAACAAAAATCTGATATATTTTATTTTTATCCCTTCTTATTTTGTGTGTGCCTCTCTTTTTATTTTGAGCTGGAGTCTCACTCTACCTCCCAGGCTGGAGTACAGTCACACACTCATGGCTGCCTGCTAGGCTCAGGAAATCTTTCCACCTTGGCCTTTTGAGTAGCTGGGACTACAGGCACGCACCACCATGTCTGGCTAATTTTGTTTTCTTTATTATAGAGATGAGGTCTTGCCAAGTTGCCCAGGCTGGTCTCAAACCCCTGGGCTCAGGCAATCCTCTCACCTCTACCTCCCAAAGTGCTGGGATTACAGGTGTGAGCCACGGCGCCTGGCTTGTGTGTGTCTCCTTAAAAAATGAACATTTTCCTACATAATCAGAATGTCAGTAATATACCTAACAAAAATAAAAATAATTCCTTGGTATTAGTGTTTATTATCTAGTCCATATTCAAGTTTGCTAATTGTCTGAAAAATATCACTCCACAATTCAAATCAGGATCTAAACAAGGACTCCGTATTGCATTTGGTTGTTAAGTCTCTTAAATCTCTTTTAATCTTTTAATTGTTCTTAGGCCATTGACTTGCTATGGAAAGTAGGTTCAGGGATCCCACAGAATATTTTATATTCTGGATTTTCCTTCTTCCTCTTGGTGTAATCTAACTTTTTTATTTTGTGTACACTAAGTGTTAATTCTAAAGACTTGAATAGAGTCACACTTACCTTTTTTTTTTGCAAGGATTTCTTGGGTGATCCTATGTGATCTTATGTGTACTATTTGAGTGGGACTACCAGACTTCAGAAGGCACAAAAGTCTGGTGATCCCATTCACAGTGATACTAAGATTGATCAGTGATTTTAGACAGTGATGGCCCAATCTCTCCACTGTAGTTAATGACTCATTCATTGATGATCTTTGCCTAAACCAGTTGTTTCATTGGCAGTTGCAGGATTTGGGTTTTTCATCATTCTCCATATTTATTAATTGGAATTTTAAAAAGAGCCTCCCTTCTCAACTAAAGCTATTTAGTTACCCTGAAATATATTGTATAGGAAAGATGAGATGAATGTTCAATTCTTTATCCTTTGTCAGTTTTCAGAGTAAGGAGTTAGTATTTGTTCTTTAAAATATGACTTAAAAATATGTAGCAGTTAAATCTTGCCCCATGGAGTAAGTATGGATCAATGTGGTAAGTGTAGATACTGGATCTACTGGTAATTTCCCCTCTCTTGCCATGAGATTGTATTAGAAGAGTTTTGTAGAATGGGGGCAGAAGAAGGCTCTGTCCCAATCTTCTATACCAGCAATGGAGCAGGCTATGGAAGGGGGTGGTGGTGCTTGAGGAGGGAGAGAGGGGACTCAGTATTGAGTGGCAGGTTCTCATCTGCCCATCTGCCTCAAAGGGCAGGCAGATAAGCCCCTGAGCCCCTGTGTCTGTGTCTTTCCTGCCTGCAGACAGTGGAAGTGTGATGGTGAGATGCTAAATCGGTATCGACAGGCCTTGGAGACAGCTGTGAACCTCTCTGTAAGGCACAGCCTGCCCCCACTGCCAGGCCGCACCCTCTTGGTCTATCTGACGGATGCTGATGCAAACAACCTCTGTCCCAAGAGCAACCTACAAGGGGTAAAAATAAATAAAAAGCATCCTACAAGGGGTTGATAGGATGCTGGGAATCCTAAGAGGTATTGTGTTCCCAGACCTGGTTCTCCCAGGCAAGCATTTGAACGGAAATAAATGACATAAATCTGCTTTAAAGTATCTGTCCTTGGTTCCTAACAACAATTCCTAGAATGTGGTTTCAGCCCTGTGGAGTAGAATATTAACATTTCACATTTGGCTGGTGCTTAGTACTCTGAATTTTCACCGCCAAAATGTTTCTCACTTTCACCTCACTGCATTCCGGTGTTGAACTTGGGCAGGGCTCCTTGTTCCCCATCACCTCTCTCCCCAGGCAGCTCTTTCCGAGGGCTACTGTAGCTGACCCCTCCTAACTGGAGTTTTTATCCTCTTTCCTCTTTCTCCAAACCAGTGGAAGGGTTTGGACTCCAGGGGTGGGTGGGTAATTCCAAGATAGGAGAGCTTTATGTCACCCTGATTCTTGTTCAATCAGCCGCCCCTGAATTACGTGCTGCTGTTGATTGGAATGATGATTGCAAGGGCGGAACAGGCAGATCTCCTGCTGTGTGAAAGCGGCACTCTGAAGACTGCAGTGTTTAAGGCAGAAGAAGGCATCCTGAAGACTGCCATCGAGCTCCAGGCTCAAGTCCAGGTAAGGCACTCACCTCTGCCATCCAAAAATACATGAAGTGCACAGGCCTGGGAATAGCCTGAATGTTTATTTCTTTTATTTTTATTTTTTGAGTCAGGGTCTCACTCTGTCACCCAGGCTGGAGTGAAGTAGCACGATCATGGCTCACTGCAGCCTCCAACTCCTGGGCACAGGCAATCCCATCTCAGCCTCCTGAGTAGCTGGGACTACAGGCATGTGCCACCATACCCAGATACTTTTTAAATTTTTCTGTAGAGATGACTATTTTGCCCAGCCTGGCCTTGAACTCTTGGGCTCAAGCAGTCCTCCTGCCTCAGCCTCCCTAAGGCGGGATTACAGGTATGAGCCATAGCACTCGGCTGGCCTGAATATTTAGTAAAGGCATGAATATACACAGTTCTGAAGAGTTCCCAGCAGACTGTGATGTTTGCTGCTAACTAATCATCTCCTGTGCAACCACATAATGAGTCTCTTTCCTTTAGGAGATGGAAAAAAAGGGTGACTGGTCCCTGGAAACTTTCAGGAAATACCTGCTATCTCTGTCTACCCAAAGGGTTCCTGTGAGTACTGCTCAGTACCTGAGAAACTCCTTCTCCTACATTTTCCTCTACAACTGATATATCTCGTTTAAACCTGACCCCTCAAAGCTGACCTTTCAAACCATGTGCAATATTCAGATCATCTTCCTACTGGCTACAGCCCCCTACCCAGTCGTGTGGTAGTAAATGTTTAATTGTCCAGAAAAACAAGTCTCAGTTAATAGCATTTGCTAATTTCCATGGTGTAAATAGTCCTAGCGTGGCTGATTTCAAACTGCCAACTCAATGTCACCAAACACAGAGTTGGGAAGAGATGTTCAAGAACACACCACTGAATGGTATTCCAGTAGAATACGGTAGATGTAAATAAGCTTGAGTAGATAATAGTAAAATGTAGAAAAAAAATAGGAAGTGATGAGTTTTGAGTATTTATCACATTTGTTTTACATATTTAATTTTTTTTTTTTTTGAGTTGGAGTCCCACTCTGTCACCAGACTGGAGTGCAGTGGCCGCTCCCGGCCACCGCAGCCTCGACCTGCTGGGCTCCAGCGATCCTTCCGCCTCAGCCTTCCAAGTAGCCGGAATTACAGGCATGCGCTATCATGCCTGGCTGATTTTTTGATTTATTGTAGAGATGAGGTCTCGCTGCCCAGGCGGGTCTCGAACCCGCAGGCTCAGGCAATCCACTCACCTCAGCCTCCCCAAGGCGCGGGATTACAGACTGAGCCACCGAGCCCGGCTACATATTTAATTTTAAGTTTATACAATTTCATTTTTAATAATGGACTTTAAAAAAAAATTATTTTATTTTAAAGATGTGGGGTACAATTCAGGATTAGGTATACAAGTGGTCATCATACAGGTAAAGTTTGGGCCTCCCTTTGGTCCCCACTTTGCCTGGTTTGAGATCAGGTACCCTTTCTTATTAACATTATGTGCACCCCTCCCTAAGCAGTTTCTGGCTACTTGCCCGTCCCTTTCTTATGGTAATAATGGACATGTTTAACAACTGCTCACAGAATTCCTAAGAACTTAGCAGTAAGCTCTCGTGAGCCTGATCGAGCCAGCTGCAGCACACCACTGCCCCTACCATACCTCCACTTTGACGCATCCCATTCCCCTCCAGTCAGGGTATAATGGCTTTCCTCATTCTGAGTGCTCTCAGGAGAGGCAGTTTTCCATTCCCCTCAGAGGTCTCCTAATCCCTCAGTCCTCAGAGATCGCACCTTTGATGTCCTGAGCTCTTTCTAGGGTCTCTTCTATCCTTTTGTTCTCTGGTCTCAGTGCCTCCCCTTTCATCTTACAGGTAGACAGGATCATCCTTTTTGGCCAAGAGATGGATACCGTAATGGTAAATGTGGCCAAACAGCTTTTCTGGCAGCATGTGAATCCCAAGTGCCTCTTTGTTGGTGTCCTTCTGAGAAGGCCACGATACATGTAAGGATGCTTATACTCCCTACCCAATTTCAGAAATTAGTGATCCATACTTCCTCTGCCAAAAGCCCTGCCAAAGCCTGGCCTACTTGCACTTGTTGAGCACCTCCCTGCCTTTGCCTTCCTACCACTGTGGCACTTGAGGTGCTTCTCTAAAGTCTTCAGCCTAGCTCTGTACCCTTTTTTTTTTGAGTTGGAGTCTCACTCTGTCACCCAGCCTGGAGTGAAGTGGCCGCTTCCGGCCACCGCAGCCCCGACCTACTGGGCTCTGGCTATCCTTCTGCCTCAGCCTTCCAAGTAGCTGGAACTATAGGCACGTGCTACCACACCTGGCTAAATTTTTTGATTTATTGTAGAGATGAGGTCTCACCAAGTTGCCCAGGTGGGTCTCGAACCCGCAGGCTCAGGCAATCCACTCACCTCAGCCTCCCAAGGTGCAGGATTACAGGCTGAGCCACCGAGCCCGGCTGCTCTGTACCCTTTTGTGAAAGCCCACCCCAGCCCTAGCCTAGCACATAACCCTATTAAAGGTGCAGAGATAGGGTGTCCATTTTAGGGTGCTAGGGGGCAGTGACTGTGTGTTCCAAATATTGTTTCTGGTGGTTAGTGACTGCTTCTTCCTTTTCCAGATCACCAAATTCAAATCCCAATGACGTGACTCTCTCAGGCTGTACTGATGGGATACTAAAGTGAGTTGTCGGGACACTGAAGGGTTGGAGACTTTTTTAGAATGTCTTTAAGAGATTATCCATGCCTCTACTCCATTTACTTCTTTTTTAAGTCAAGATGGAAATTTCTTCCTCTTTTATAGCCATCAAGGCATAACAGCAACACAGGGTCACGGGAACCTAGATACTTTCTGTTTTATCACTCCACCATCCTCACATATTCGGTTTCTTCCTCATGGTTCAAGATAGCTGCTTCAACTCCAGCTGTCTGTATTTAGCCAAGTTCATATTATATTTAGGAGGAAAAGATGTTGCACTGTTTGCTTTTAAGTGAACATCTTAAGAGTTGGTGACATCACTGTGGCTTTTGTTTGATTCTTGATCTAGAGAAAATCCCATCTATTTATGCTGAATTACAGAAGTCTTTTGACTTTGTCACTTTCTCCACCCTTAGCCTTCTCATTTATTTGTTTTCTCCTCTGCCTTTTCCTTTGGGTGTCACCTATTTCCCTCAACTTCTGTTAGGATGCCTCATTCACATTCCTCCTTCTACAGGGAGCTTTTAGGGCTGGTACAGAGCTGATCAAGCCTGCACTGGGATAACTTGTCTTTACACCTTATCCAAGCCCAGTTATCCTTGGCCGAACAGCAGGCTCATGATTGCCATGCATAGAAGGAGGGACTAGAGCTGGGTTTCTTCTCTTTTCATTCATTCCTGTGATTCTGCAGCCTTGTTTATTATAAGTCTGTTAAACACTGCTTATGGTCATCTTCTTAAGATGCTCCAGTTAAGTTGATGACCTAATGTGGAATTATGTTTGTCCTCCTGCCCCTCTTGGAAGACCTCTGGTATTCTGTTGTTGTTTATTTTATTGCTGTCTATGTTAGGTTCATTGCGGAGCGTGGAGCCTCCCGTCTTTTGGAACATGTGGGTCAAATGGACAAAATATTCAAGATTCCACCACCCCCAGGAAAAGCAGGAGTCCGGTTGCTCCGGCCACTGGAAGAGGGTACTCCAAAGCCTGTGGCTCCTATTTCCCTTCAAGGGTCAGTCTATGTTTCTATGTCTTTGTGAATTATGAGGGGCTGCAGTCAAAACTTAGAGAAACTCTGGGACGGAAGTTCTGGCTATTGAGGTGCTGCTTGTTCTCTTCACTAAAGCATGCTTCCTCTTTCTCAGACAGGGGTTTCTCTAGCACAGGAAGTTGTCAGATTGTGAACAACCTCCTTCCTTTCTCCATTGGGAAAAGGTGGTTAGAATGTGGAAAGGACCACAGGTATCATGGCCACACGGCCAGGGCTTAGGCAGAGTGCTTAGGAACACAGGTTCTGGCTTTTTCATGCTGACTTTGCCAAATAGTAGTTTGAACCTTGAGCTGGTTGCTTAATTTCTTAACGCTATCTTGATCAATAAAATGGAGATGATATTGCTTATCTCCCAGTGTTGGCATAAACAAATAGTACAAACATAATAATGGTTTACTGAAAAAAGAGGGGTGCATGAGAAATAGCAAGTGGGGTTTAAATTCCAGAGCTCTGCAGTTGAGACTACAAGCAAGTTATTCCCCGAGACCTGCTGGACACCCCTCTGCTGTTTGTTGTACCTGGCTCATGCTCAGTGCTGAAGTTGGGATCCCAGCAGTGTCTGTGGATTGGGTAGTAGGACTGATCCCTAGACTGAGCCCAGCTCTTTGCTTACCCCCAGATGGCGCAGCATCCGGCTTTTCATCTCATCCACTTTCCGAGACATGCATGGGGAGCGGGACCTGCTACTGAGGTCTGTGTTGCCGGCATTGCAGGCCCGAGCAGCACCCCACCGCATAAGCCTTCATGGCATTGACCTGCGCTGGGGCATCACTGAAGAGGAGACCCGCAGGAACAGGTATGGAGGCCACAGAGAAGAGGGGCTGGGCTGGGTCAGGGATGAGGGACTTGAGTGATGAAACTGAGGTGGGCAGGGTTGGGAGTGCGAGAGTGGGCGAGGGCGAGAGCAGGGAGCTGACCCTGGGGTGCTAACAAGAGCAGCCTGCCTTCATTTTGCTCAGTTGTGAGCCAGGGCCCTGTCCCCCCATTTGTGCCTGTATTCCCTGACACTGTGTCCCTGGTGACTACATGGTGACGACTGCCCATGACTGTGCCTGCAGACAACTGGAAGTGTGCCTCGGGGAGGTGGAGAACTCGCAGCTGTTTGTGGGAATTCTAGGCTCCCGTTATGGCTACATTCCCCCCAGCTACAACCTCCCTGACCATCCTCACTTCCACTGGGTAAGGCAGACAAGCTTGGAGGAGGGCTGGGAGGAAAAAAAGATTTGGGCAGAAGTGGGGAGAAGTCAGGAACCCTGGGACAGGCAGTCCTTGAAACGTGAAGTGAAACATAGACAGATGATACTACAAATGGCCAAGTCCTAGATGAGGAAGTTCCTTTGAAAAGTACCTCCAGGGTTGGCCCAGGGATGTGAAAGTAAGAGAGTTAGGTGTTGCCATCAGATGGATGTGGGTTCTGATTTTCCTTCTGTCATGTTCAGGTTGTGTGGCTTTGTGGGAATCTGACTAAAAGTCTCACCAGCCTCAATTTCTCCACATATCAAAGAGGAGCGATGACTTTTACACTGCAGGGTTATTATGAGAATTGAAACTCTGTAAAAGAATACCCAATACATGACATGCATTCAATAAATGTTAGTTATTAGCTATATTTTATTGCTTGTGTCTGGAGGGAGGAAAGGAGGGACGTGACTGAGGTGAAGGAACCCTGGGGTCTTGGCAAGTCTTGAGGGAGGCATCAGTGTCACCTAGGACTAAACCCATGCATCTTTGCCCTCTCTGCAGACCCAGGAGTACCCTTCAGGGCGGTCAGTGACAGAGATGGAGGTGATGCAGTTCCTGAATCGGGACCAATGCCTGCAGCCCTCTGCCCAAGCTCTCATCTATTTCCGGGATTCCAGCTTCCTCGGGTACCTTCTCTTGCCTCTGGGGTCAGGTCTCGCTGCCCGGAAGACCAGACAGGATCAATCTTCTCTCCCCAGCATTCAGAGTGTAGGAGGGAGGTGTTATAAGAGAGAAACAGGATTTAGACAGTATGCCTTTGGAGCCCCAGATCAGCCTTGGAGCTGAAGTAGATCTCTACTCGAGGAGTTTCAGGGAATCACAGCCATGTCTGATAGTCGGTGGAGGGAGACTGAGGTCTGGGTCTAGCCCCACTTTTGGGGTCTTTTGTGGTCAGCTCTGTGCCAGATGCCTGGAAATCTGACTTTGTTTCTGAGTCTGAAGAGGCTGCACGTCGGATCTCAGAACTAAAGAACTACCTGAGCAGAAAGAAGGGTATTATCTGCCGCAGGTGAGCTGGGGGAAGTAGAGAGCACCTGTACAGAGAGATGTGGTGAGGGGAGCCAGGGCTGACTCTGGTCACGCTTGCTTTGCACACAGATACCCCTGTGAGTGGGGGGGTGTAGCAGATGGCCGGCCCTATGTTGGGGAGCTGGAGGAGTTTGGACAGTTGGTTCTGCAGGATGTGTGGAATATGATACAGAAGCTTTACCTACAGGTCAGCAGAAGCACTGATGGCCAGAGGAGTGGAGGGGAAGGTCGTGTGGTCTGAGTAGTCCTGGGTAGGGAGTAACTTGGTGGGGGCTCTGGGAGTTTCAGACCTGAGGGTTCTGAGGAGCATGGCAACATGGAGGGTCACTGCCCTGTGCGCCCTCAGCCTGGGGCCCAGCCGGAACAACCAGTTTCCATCCCAGATGATGACTTGGTCCAAGCTACCTTCCAGCAGCTGCAGAAGCCATCAAGTCCTGCCCGATCACGCCTTCTTCAGGACACAGTGCAGCAGCTGATGCTGCATAGCGGGAGGCTGAGCCTGGTGACTGGACAGTCAGGACAGGGCAAGACAGCCTTCCTGGTACAGACCCTCAGGGGCCTGGGCAGAAGGGAGGGCTGTATTGGCTCAGGAGGTGGATGCGGGAGCTTGTGCATATAAAATATAACCATGTTTTCTGTTCCTGCCCCATGCAGGCATCCCTTGTGTCAGCCCTGCAGGCACCTGATGAGGCCAAGGTGGCCCCCTTGGTCTTCTTCCACTTTTCAAGGGCCCGTCCTGACCAGGGTCTTGCTCTCACCGTGCTCAGACGCCTCTGTACCTATCTGCATGGCCAACTAAAAGAGCCAAGTGCCCTTCCCAACACCTACCGGTGTGTGTCCCCAATTATCCCAGCCTTGTTGGTGCCCTATGGTACTGCCCCTACATCTCTCTGTCCCACTGACTGACTTTCCCTCCACATGTAGAGGCCTGGTGTGGGAGCTGCAACAGCAGCTGCTTCCCAAGTCTGCTCAGTCCTTGCAAACTGGCCAGACCCTGGTCCTGATCATCGATGGGGCCGACAGGTTGGTAGACCAGAATGGGCAGCTGATCTCAGACTGGATCCCAAAGAAACTTCCCCGGGTGAGCAAGAGGGAGAGATGGGTGTGGGAGGCAGGTTGGGGAGAAGGAAGAATGCAGGAGGGAGGAGAGGGGGCTGTCTAATGTTTTCCTTTTTTTCCTATCTTCTGGGTTCTTTGCCCAAATGTCACAGTGGGTACACCTGGTACTGAGTGTATCTAGTGACACGGGCCTGGGGGAGACCCTTGAGCAGAGCCAGGGTGCTCATGTGGTGGCCCTGGGGCCTCTGGCACCATCTGCCCGGGCCCAGATGGTGAGAGAAGAGCTGGCTCTGTACGGGAAGCGACTGGAGGAATCGCCTTTTAACAACCAGGTTGGATCTAGGCCAGGGTTGGTGGGTGTATGGGGTGAATCTGGGAGCCCTGAGCACTTGCGGTACCAAGGCTATCAGCTGCCTCACACAGACCTGCTCCTTCGTTTTCTCAGAAACTCTGTCCATGCAGAGTTGTTATTAAGATAACTGCGGTTTCCTGATGATATCATTCAGACTTTTTCCCCTGGTGAATAGTTTCTCCAGGGCCTGTTGGGAGTGAGGGGGCTAGTAAAACAGTGGTTGTCAGTGGGATAGACTGAGCCATGGGGGTTTCCCTGGGAGGGCTGGGTGGGCAGAGCGTTGTGGGGAGGGATGGTTATATCCTAAGGTGATGCTTTGGACCAGTCCCCTACTGGGGACTCTTGAAGGAGGAGCTGCCTTGCAGTGGGCCTAGTACTGGGGCAGAGGGCTGGCTATGGGCAGGTTCCCTGGTCCCCTCACTGAGTCCTCTGAGTCTTGACAGATGCAGCTGCTGCTGGTGAAGCGGGGATCAGGCTTGCCACTCTACCTGCGCTTGGTCACCGATCACCTGAGGCTCTTCACATTGTATGAGCAGGTTGGTGGCTCATCTTCCAAGTGTTAATCCCACTTCCCACTTTCCAGCTGCTTTCTCTCATCCTCATCCCTCATCCTTGCCGTCTTGTGATCACCCATTCCTCATCCTCACCTCCCCCTACTCCCACTTCCCACCCACCTTTGCTCTTTACTTTTTTCAGGTCTTCCTTCTGTTCTCCTGTTGCTCATTCCCTACCCCACAACCAAAGCTGCTTCTCCTCCCTCCCCACTGACTGAAGCCCAGCCCTTCCTCCCTAGGTGTCTGAGAAGCTCCGGACCTTGCCTGCCACTGTCCCCCTCCTGCTGCAGCACATCCTGAGTACCCTGGAGCAAGAGCATGGGCCTGATGTCCTTCCCCAGGCCTTGGCCACCCTTGAGGTCACACGTAGTGGTAAGTGGTGGGGGTCAGTTGGGAGGTTGAGGGCTCAGGGGTTGGATGACCTCAGTTCTATCGGGTTCTCAGCAGGCAGTGCCAAGAGGGACTAGGTGTCACGGGGATGAGCATACTGTGTGTTTAGGAGAGGGCCTCAGAGAGCTTGTGTTTTCAGGTCTGACTGTGGACCAGCTGCATGGAGTGCTAAGTGCATGGCGGGCACTGCCTAGGAGGACTAAGAGCTGGGAAGAAGCAATGGCTGCTGTTAACAATGGAGACCCCTACCCCATGGGCCTGTTTGCCTACCTCGTCCAGAGTCTACGCAGGTACAGTTGCTCCCAGCTGAGCTCCCACCGATCTCATTGTGTCTTCCCATCTTTGAGCCAGGGCCTCATGTATTGCCCCAACACCTGTCTCTCAGACCCTGAATGGGCTACTGCTCTAGTTACCGCTGTTCTTGGTGGGAATGGAAGCCCATGCTGTGTCGGGATGCTCACTGACAGGCCTTCTTCCTCTCTCTTTTCCCTTCTTCACGTGAGGACAGTTTGCTAGGGGAGGGCCCTCTGGAGCGCCCCGGTGCCCGGCTCTGCCTCCCTGATGGGCCCCTGAGAACAGCAGCTAAACGTCGCTATGGGAAGAGGCCAGGGCTGGAGGACACAGCCCACATCCTCATCGCAGGTGATTGCAGCCCAAGTCAGCCTGGGCACTTAGTGTGGGGCCTGGGCCTAGAGGCCAGGACCACCCAATGATGCTTCCCATCTCACCTGCTACCTCAGTGGGTGGTTGACTCTTCCTGTAGTCCAAGGGATGGGATCTTGGGGATGCTGCAGGGCTGAGGCTTTCCCAATATCTGTTCTTATAGCTCAGCTCTGGAAGATGTGTGACCCTGATGCCTCAGGCACCTTCCGAAGTTGCCCTCCTGAGGCTCTAGGAGACCTGCCTTATCACCTGGTTAGTCTTCAGATCCCATAGACACCTTTTCCCAAGCAACTGCTCTGCCTATTCTGAGCTTCTGTCCCCTCGACCACCTCCACCATCACCACTACCATTACCCCCTACTAAACTCCCTCTACCTTTCTCCTTTTGGTTTTCCTGTTCTTCTCTTTCAGGTCCTTTGTCCCAGCTCCTGAAACGAGGTCCTGGCTGCAGAGGCAGAATCTGAGACTACTATCCCTTGTTACCAGCCTCCTCGTGGCCCTAATTAATCCAATTTGACTTTCCCAATCTGACTTTCCCAGCTCCAGAGCGGGAACTGTGGCCTTCTTTCAAAGTTCCTCACCAGTCTCCATGTAGTGGCTGCACACCTGGAATTGGGTCTGGTCTCTCGGCTCTTGGAGGCCCATGCCCTCTATGGTGAGATGAGTCACTGGCTTGTTTCTTCTCTGAGATGTGGATGTGGATGTGCACATGGGGGCCCTGCTAAGGGGAAGTACAATGGAAAAAAACAGTCAAATTTCCATTCCAAGTTGAAAATGTCAAGAGGATGGGCAAGTTATTCTCAGGAGGTCTTTTGCCTAGATCTCTTCAACCAGAGGCTCTCAAACTTTATTTAGTGAACATAAAATTATCTGAGAAACTTGTTCAAATTGCAGATCCTTCGGTCCCCAGATTCTGGTTCCCTGGGTCTGGAATGGAGCCCCAAGTTTTATAGCTTTAGCAGGTGTTCCTGATATGGAACCAGAGGGCCACACTTTAAAACCTACTATTTTAGATACACCATATGATTTTATTTTGTGCTGGGGTTAATGGAGTCCAGGCTGGCTCCCCAGTGACATTCTGCGTTTCTTTTGTAGCTTCTTCAGTTCCTAAAGAGGAACAAAATCTCCTCGAAGCTGATGAAGAGGAACAAAACGTCCTCCAGGCTGACATTGCTGTATTTTGCACCTTCCTGAGGCAGCAGGCTTCAATCCTCAGTCAGTATCCCCTGCTCCTGCCCCAGCAGGCAGCCAACCAGCCTCTGGACTCACCTCTTTGCCACCAGGCCCCCTTGCTCTCCCACCGGTGGCACCACCACCGCATATTACGATGGCTTAATAAACCCCAGACCATGGGGATTCAGCAAAGGTAAGACCCCAGACCCTGGGAAAGCAAGCCGTAGCCCTTTCTGAAACTGAAGAGTAAGAAAGACCAGAATACTGTGGAGCGGGGGATTCTGGTACAGAAATGCAGAAATAGACCTCCATTTGCTTTCTTTCACTTATTTCTTCCCTTCCTGCTCTTCCTCTAGCTCCAGCCTATCTCTGACAGTTTCCTCATCCCCCACCGCTGTAGCCTTCTCCCCTAGTGGGCAAAGAGCTGCTGTGGGCACGGCCAGTGGGACAGTTTACTTGTTGGATCTGAGAACTTGGCAGGTAGGACAATCAAGGTGGGACAGATTTTATCCTCAGAAAACCCTTGCAGGTGCCCTGAAGCCCTAGACAGGCCAAATCCACCTGTTATCACCCTGCTTGATTCAGTACCTTTACTCCCCTCACCTCAGATCAAAGGGCTTAGTCAAAAAATCAACCACACAGCAAATGTTTGCTGTCCATCTTCCATTTAAGGCACTGTGCTAAGCATTGCAAGGAACATGGGACTTAGGACATGGTCATTACCTGTCAAGTGATCAGTTTTGTTGAGAGATAAGACATACAAGGTAAAAAAGGAACCAAAACATAGCTATGGGACATAAGTAAGAGCCAAGTGCACTGTGTGGTTATAGGAGGATATAGGATGGAAAAGGGCAGGCATTCTCAGTTGAATGAGGCACTTGAGCAAAGGGGAGAACATTCTCTGCTGATGCTGGGTATTATTACAGCAGAGGGTGCTTACGAGAGGGTAACAGTAGATTAGGCTAGAGAGGCGAGTCCTAGAGCCACAGCCTCTCTCAATCTCTCACCGTTCTGCCCATATCAGCCCCTACCTCATATATGTGCATTCAGGTAACCCCATTTTCTCAGACCCATCAAAATCTTTGGTGAGTTGGGGAACAGATATGGGGTTTGGAGTGAGGGACATGTGGTCCTACTAGGATCGTGAGGCCTCACTTGAACCTGTGCTTGGCTAGAAAAATCGAGTCAGAGGCTTGAGTCCTTCTTGCCTTGGTCTTCTTTTTGGTTGGGGCCTGAGGTGGTGGGCCATGGAAAGTCAGGGGAGTGGCCTGAACCACGCTTCCCCACTTGCTCTCACAGGAGGAGAAGTCTGTGGTGAGTGGCTGTGATGGAATCTCTGCTTGTTGTTTCCTCTCGGACAACACACTCTTTCTTGCTGCCTTTGATGGGCTCTTGGAGCTCTGGGACCTACAACGTGGTTGTCGGTAAGGGGTCTCCCCCATGCCTCAGAGTGAGGGTTCTCGCCATTTGTTGGAAACCCAGAGGAAAGGAATGAGGAGGGAGCATAAGGCCAGGAGTCTCCAGGGGCCTGATGTTATCTTCCTGGGTTAGGGTGCTTCAGACCGAGGCTCACCAGTACCAAATCACTGGCTGCTGCCTAAGCCCAGACCACCGGCTGCTGGCCACCGTGTGCCTGGGAGGATGCCTAAAGGTAAGACTAGGGGGTTTGCAGTGGTCAAAGCAGCCCTAAACTGTGAGTCGGCCCATTGAGGTGATTTTCTCAGCATGGCAGAGGCTGCTGACTGCTTGGCCAGAGGAAGACTTCCCCACTGAGACAGAGGCTGCTGACTGCTTAGACAGAGGAAGACTTCCCCACTGAGACAGAGTGGCCCCTAGAGCTCTGAGACTGAGAAGTTCAGTCATCTGTGTTTGGCACCCTGATTCTTCCTCTCTCTCCTCCAGTTGTGGGACACAGTCCGTGGGCAGCTGGCCTTCCAGCACACCTGTCCCAAGTCCCTGAACTGCATTGCCTTCCACCCGGAGGGGCATGTAGTAGCCACAGGCAGCTGGACTGGCAGCTTCAGCTTCTTCCAGGTGGATGGACTCAAAGTCACCAAGGTAAGAAGGTCCTATTTCACTCTGGGGGAGAAAGCACAGGAGGATATGATTGTAAAGTGGGGAATGACAGACATCAGCATCACTTTGGGCTTATGCTGAGAGCAGTTCCTAATGTTTCCATTTCTATTTCCCTATGTAGGACCTGGGGGCTCCAGGAGCCTCTGTCCGTTCCTTGGCCTTCAATGGGCCTGGGCGGGTTGTAGCTGTAGGCCGGCTGGACAGCACAGTGGAGTTGTGGGCCTGGCAAGAGGGAGCCCGGCTGGCAGCCTTCCCTGCCCACCATGGCTCTGTTGCTGCTGTTCTTTTCCTGCATGCGGGGAGTCAGCTACTGACAGCTGGAGAGGATGGCAAGGTCAGATTACAGAGGGTTGGTAGTGGGTCACGCGGAGGGAGTAGCAAAATCAGCAAATATTAGGGTGAGGGTGGGAGCCTTTGTTGAGACTGTGGAATAGCTTGGATGGTGGGAGCTACAGGGAGAGGGTTGTGGGTATGTGGACGGGCAGCTCTTAGAAGAAAGGTCTCTAGAAGGAAGACTTTAATGGGGGTGGCTATAACTTGGGGGGTAGCATCAGGTAGTGGAGGTGGTATATCTTTAAGCCTTTTTCTTGGCCTCCAGGTTCATGTGTGGTCAGGGTTTCTAGGTCGGCCCCGTGGGCGCCTGGGTTCCCTTTCTCTCTCTCCTGCCCTGTCTGTGGCTCTCAACCCAGATGGTGATCAGGTGGCTGTTGGATACCGAGCAGATGGCATTAGAATCTACAACATTTCTTCAGGTATCAAAGGGGGAGTGGATGGCTTTTTCAGCATTTGGAAATAAGGTACTCCTACCCCTGACCTACTTCCCAAATGTCTCACTCTCTTGTTTTCTCTCATTCTAGGTTCCCAGGGGGCTCAGTGTCAAGCACTAGATGTGGCAGTGTCTGCACTAGCCTGGCTGAACCCCAGGGTATTGGTGAGTGGTGCAGAAGATGGGTCTCTGCAGGGCTGGGTGCTCAAGGAACGCTCCCTTCAGTCCCTCTGGCTCCTGTCCAGATACCAGAAACCTGTGCTGGGACTGGCCACCTCCCAGGCACTCTTGGCTTCTGCCTCAGGTACTACTTGGCAGTGGGCAGGGTTACTGCAACATTGTTCATCTTAAATATACTAATACCTTCCTTTAATTTGTAAATATATGTGTATAAAAATCCATATACATGCAAGTTTTTTTACAACTTTGAAAGTGTTTGTTTTTTGAGTTGGAGCCACACCCTGATGAAGTGCAGTGGCATGATCACAGTTCATCTCAACCTCAACCTCCTGGGTTCATGCCATGCTCCTCCATCAGCCTCCTGAGTAACTGGGATTACAGGCATCTGCCACTATGTCTGGCTAGTTTTTTTTAACTCTTTGTAGAGACAATGTCTTGCTATGTTGCCCAAACTGATCTTGAACTCCTGAAGTCAAGCAATCCTCCAGCCCACATTGCTGGGATTATAGGCATGAGCCCCATACCTGGCCTCAAAGTGCTTTTGAAAACATTTATTTTGCATAGTCAGTCTAGATTGTTTCTTCTGGTTCCCTCACCCTCATTCTGGGATATCTAAACTCCCAGCAATCCTTTGAGTTTTTGCCCTGTGGGAGGGATGCTGTGTAAAGGGGAGATGGGTTTCCCTTAGGAGAGAGTGATGTTGAGGTGGAAATGCAGAATGACTGTGGCCCTGTCTGGGAGCAGGCCTGGTCCTCACAGGTGTTGAGGTGAAAGTGACACTGGGCATTTGAGAAGAGGAGAGGTCTGGAGCAGCCCTTGCAAGAAGTGTGGTAGAGAAATAGAGAGGAGGACCTGCATTCCTGGCCTGAGCTTGGAGTCGAAGCTGGGAGTGCTGGACGTTCCTGTCCTGTGTACTCACATGCTGCCTGACTCTTGCCCAGAGCCTCTCTATGGTCTAGTGAGTCACTGTATTCCTCCCTTAGAGCTGTGCCCTCAGGAGTCACCCTTGGCCTCTGTGATTGCCCTTGTCTTTGGCTTCCCAGGCCTGTCTGGCTTCCTCTTTCAAGAAACCTTTCTCTCTCTATTTTTCCAATGCAGAGGATTTTACAGTGCGGCTGTGGTCAAGGCAGTTGCTGACACTGCCGCACAAAGCAGAAGACTTTCCCCATGGCACTGAGCTCCAGGGACACGAGGGCCCTGTGAACTGCTGTAGCTTCAGCCCCAATGGAGGCAGCCTGGCCACTGGGGGCAGGGATCGGGTGAGCTGCCGGATGCAACCCCTGGGTCCCATGGCCTCTCTGGCTCTTGTGTTCTTTAACAGCCCGTTTCCTATGGCTTCCGTCTGCTTTTTTCTTTGCCACATTTCCTAGGGATCTGTTCACCCACGATTCCCTCTTTCCTTGAAACTTCTTGCCTGAAATGGCCCTGGCGTTCCCGCCTCCCTCTTATGGTCCTGACTGCTCCCTCTCCTTGGGACCCCTCCAGAGTCTCCTCTGCTGGGACGTGAGGACACCCAAAGCCCCTGTTTTGATTTGCTCCTTCCCTGCCTGTCACCGTGACTGGGTCACTGGCTGTGCCTGGACCAAAGACAACCTGCTGGTGAGTGAAGGGATGGGGTGAGGCAGAGCACAGCAGGGTTCCTGGGGAAGACAGTGCTCCCCATCTCAACCTTTTTCTGGCACCCATAAATAATAGCTAACACTTATTGAGCATTTAGAATGTGCCAGGTGCTGAACTAAGCTCTTTGCATATATTGCCTTGCTTAATCTTTATGACACCCTGTAAAGTAGATACTACTTTTATCTCTGTTTCACAAACAAGGAATTGAACCCGGAATAAAGAACATTTCCAAGGTCATATCAGTGATAAAGCTGAGCCAGTGAACTTTCTAATAGAAAACCCCGTATCCTTTTTTGTTGTTGTTTTAGAGTTAGAGTCTCACTCTGTCTCCCAGGCTGGAGTGCAGTGGCACACTCACAGCCACCGCAGCCTCGACCTGCTGGGCTCAGGTGATCCTTCCACCTCAGCCTTCCAAGTAGCTTGAACTATGCCCACCACTTGCCATCACGTCCAGCTATTTTTTTATTTATTGTGGAGATGAAGTCTCACCAAGTTGCCCAGACTGGTCTCTAACCTGTAGGCTCAGGCAGTCCTCTTACCTCAGCCTCCCAAAGTGCTGGGACTACAGGCAAGAGCCACTGTGCCTGTCCTCATCTCTCTTTTTAAAAACAATGTGGGGACTCTGTAATAGGAAACTAGGCCTCACCAACCCTGAGTGCACAATTTAGACTCTTGCATGCCTGTATTTCCAGCTAATTAGAAGGCTAAGGCGAAAGGATTGCCTGAGCCCAGCAGGTTGACACTGGGATGGCCGTGAGCGTGACACTGCACTTCAGCCTGGGTGACAGAGTGAGACTACAATTCAAAAAAAAAAGAGAGAGAGAGAGATGAAAGACGTGAATACATGTTGAATAGACTTGTCATGGTCTATTCTGTGCCTGCCTTCTAGGCTGCCAGACTTTTCCTTGGCTGATCTTTCATCTTTTTTTTTTTTGAGTTGGAGTCTCACTCCATAATTAAGAACATAATTATTGCCCTCCATTCTACATTATTCACATGCCAAAATGCTGGAAGGATGCAGATAATCCCACCCCTTTAACTTCTGACTCTGCAGATCTCCTCCTCCAGTGATGGCTCAGTGGGACTCTGGGACCCAGAGTCAGGACAGCAGCTTGGCCAGTTCCTGGGTCATGAGAGTGCAGTGAGCACTGTGGTGGCTGTGGTGAGAAAGCAACAAACTTACCGCGGGTCTCTGGGCGGGCTAATGGGGGAGGCTGGATGCATTGGGTATCTAACCACAAAGTCAAAAGAAGCATAAAGAATTAGATACTTCGGACTGGATTGTGGTATTGAGGCTAAGGATTGATGTAAGGGGAGAGAAAAGGGAACATGAAAATACAGCATCTTAGCATCATGAACCTGAGGCAAGACTGAGCCACCCAGTTCCACCGTTCCTGAGTTTGCACTGTTTGACATCTTACAAATTCCTAATGCTTAACTCACACCTCTGTGGAGGGAGGCCTACTTCCTACGTCCAGCTCAGTATGAACCTACTCTGATCTTGTGCTCTGGGAGCAGGAGGAGCATGTGGTGTCTGTGGGCCGGGATGGGACCTTGAAAGTATGGAATCATCAGGGCGTGGAGCTGACCTGCATCCCTGCTCACTCAGGACCCATCAGCCACTGTGCAGCTGTCCTGGAGCCCCATTCAGGTAGTGAAATGTCAGCCGCCTCCCCGTTCCTACTGCCTCTTTTCTCTTCCCCTGCTCCTTTCCTTCTTCTGACTCAGTTTCTGTATCTTATCAGCTGGACATCCTGGGCCAGAGCTTCTGGTGGTGACTGTTGGACTGGATGGAGCCACACGGTTATGGCATCCACTCTTGGTAAATTCTGAAAGAGTGGGGTGGGGAGAGGTGAGAAAAGTATGTGGGAAAACCTTCTCTTGGGCCACCCTTATGGGCCATCTCTATCCATTTCTCCTAGGTGTGCCAAACGCATAACCTCCTGGGACACAGCGGCCCAGTCAGTGCAGCTGCTGTTTCAGAAACCTCAGGCCTCTTGTTAACCACCTCTGAGGATGGTTCCATACGGCTTTGGCAGGTTCCTAAAGAAGCAGGTGAGTGAGGTGTGGAAAAAAGCAAAGTATGAAAGGGGATTGTGTTCTTGGGACCGAGAAGGACAAGAGCAACCTGATATCTCTTCTTATATAATAGCAGCAGCCCAGCTCCTAATGTATCACTTCCTTTCTTCTCCAGATGATACATGTATACCGAGGAATTCTGCTGCCATCACTGCTGTGGTCTGGGCACCTGATGGATCCATGGCGGTGTCTGGAAACCAAACTGGGGAACTGATCTTGTGGCAGGAAGCTAAGGCTGTGGCCACAGCACAGGTGTCTTGGGCAACATCAGTTCTTTGTGTGAATATAGCCCCTGCTGTGTATTTAATGGTGCATGCTGGGGTCAAAGTTTGCATATATGTGTGGTGGGGAAAAACGGGTTACTATTCTCACCTCAGAAATACTGAATTGAACTTGTTGTATATACCAGGCTCCAGGTCACATCAGTGCTCTGACCTGGTACTCGGCAGGGACCTTCCTTGTTCTCAGTGCTGATGAAAAAGTCAGCGAGTGGCAAGTGGAACTGCAGGAGGGTTCAGCATCCAGAAGTTTCAGGTGAAGCAAGCCAGCTGGGTTCAGCCCCTTATCCCTGGGATTTTACTCAAATCACTCTACTTCTTATGAATAGTATGTTAGTTACTAACCATCAGTATAAATGAATAATTCTCAAGAGCCTACTTGGTGCCAGGCACTGGGAAAGGCAGTATGAACCAGACACAAATGAAATTTATTATGTAATAAAGGAAACTCAGAGGAATGTGCATATGATTCAACTACCAATGATATTCAGAATGATGAGTGCTATAATGAAGATAACACATATGCGCACACACATATATTCCTGGGGCTTCAAAATTTGAGAAATTGTGAGAAAGAGTTGATATCTGAGTTGAGTTTAAAGAATGAGTAGTAGTTTCCTGGACCAGTAAGGGAAGTGAATGATGTTTTAGAAAGAGGAGGGAGCATTTACAACAGACATGGAGGCATGAGAGTACATGGTCTATCCTGGGTATAGCCAAGTCCTTGGATTCCTGGTGGGAGTGGGGGGCAATTGGATTGAAAAGATAAGGCCAGGAGTGGTGGCTCAAGCCTGTAATCCCAGCACTTTGGCAGGCCGAGGTGAGAGGATTGCCTGAGACCAGGGGTTTGAGACCAGCCTGGGCAACTTAGTGAGACCTTGTCTCTACAATAAATCAAAAAAATTAGCCAGGCGTGGTGGTTTATGCCTGTAGTTCCGGCTACTTGGAAGGATGAGGCAGAAGAATCACCTGAGCCCAGCAGGTTGAGGCTGCAGTGGCTGTGAGCGTGACACTGCACTTCAGCCTGGGCAACAGAGTGAGACTCCAATTAAAAAAAAAAAAGAAAAGAAAAGATAAACTGCGGCCAGACTGTAGAGGGCACAGTGCTAAGAATTTTGAATGGAATAATGATCTAAATTTAGAAAGAGAACTCTGGTGCAGAATGGAGGATAGATGGTGGAGGAGAGATACTAAGGTAAGGAGATCACTTTTTACAGTTGTTGCAATAACCCAGGAAAGACATAATGTGAGCCCTGTCCTGGGCAGTGGAGATGACATGGAGAGAGAAAGATTTAGGCATGTGTTGCAGGTAGAATCCACAGGGCTTATTGATCGCTGGAGGTAGAGAGGGAAAGAAAAGACAAGAATGTTAAGATTCTAGTTTGGACAAGTAATCGGATGGCAGTAATAAATACTAATATAAGAAAAACAAGAACAGAATTTGTAGGGAAGGTAATTCATTTTGCTTTATACTTTACTCCTGAGGAATTCAGAGGGGACCAAGAAACCTGAGAGAGGTCAATTAAAGTTGGATCTTTGTCCATATCCTTTTTTTGAGCTATAGTCTTCGCCTGAACCGAATTCTGCAGGAGAACTTAGGGGTGCTGACAGATCTAGGTTTGGCCCTTGACGGTCACTCCCTCATCTTGGCCACTGCAAGTTTGGAATTACTGCACATGAAGCCAGGGGATGATCCATCTACAATCTGGTAAGATCCAAAATGCTGTTTTCTCCTGAGCTGGAAAAAGAACTGTGTATAGGTGGTTAACTTGAGGTTGAGTCTAACCTGGAAGAAAACACTGGGGTTTTGAAGAGAGGTGTCCTGGGCTCAGCCTCTTCTTTTCTTATAAACCAGGAACAGCTATGCAGAACATCCTCTGAAGCTGTCTATCCACAAGGAGTATGGTATATTTGTCCTGCAGCCCAAGGATCCCAGAGTTCTTTCTCTCTTAGTAAGTCCTGTTTGGGTGTGTGTTAAAACAAACATTTGTCTAGAGCCAATGTTTTTAAATCTTGGGGATCACCATGGAGGATAGGGGGATGGGAAATGCAGTTGGGTCCAAATTTTATCTTCCTTCAACTAGAGCAGCTCTTGCTTTAGGGCGTTATGTATTAGGCTCCTGTGTAAGATTTCATCAGTACAAAAAAGGATTCTATATTTAGAAAAAAATGTGGGAAGCCACAAACCTAGAAGTTCTCTCAATTGCATTTTTCCCCAGGTCTCTCTTACCTTGCCACTGTATTAGCATCTTGAAGGTGAAGACTGCATCTTGTCTCTGTCATCATATTTAGCAATTACCTAATAGATACTCAACACTTACTGGGTTTGGTGTGCCAAAGCTAACTCCTCACCTCACTTGTCCTGGAAAAATTATGAAATCCTGACCTGCTACCTACTAAAGTTACCTACTAAAGCCCATTTTTTGACCCAGTGATTCTACCCGTATATATATATACCTAGGAGAAATGAGTACATATATTCTCCAAAGACAGGTACAAGAATGTTCATAGCAGCATTATCCATTACAGCTAAAACAACCTGAATGTCTATAAACAAGAAAGGAACAAATAGTTTGAAATGTATTTATACAGTGGAATGTTACAGGGCCTACATGGCAAAAAAAAGATAATATGATACTGAATGCTGGTGAATGGGACAGAACAGACATATCTCATAGGCATTATGCTGGGCAAAAGAAGCCAGACTCAAAGGAGTACATGGTAAATGATTTCACGTAAATAAAGTTCAAGAACAAGTAAAATTAACTCATGGTGAAAGAAGTCAGAATATTATTAGCTCTGTGGGTATTGGTCTGGTATTGACTGGGAAGGGGCATGAGGGAAACTTTCTGGGGTGATGGAAATGTTCTACACCTTGATCTAAGGGGTGATTGCATGGGTGTCTGCATGTGTAAAAGTTTGTTGAAATATATACTTAAGATTTATGTACTTGGCCGGGCTCGGTGGCTCGGCCTGTAATCCCAATACTTTGGGAGGCTGAGGCAAGTAGATTGCCTGAGCCCGCAGGTTTGAGACCCACCAGGGCAACTTGGCGAGACCTCGTCTCTACAATAAATCAAAAATTAGCCGGATGTGGTAGCACACACCTGTAGTTCTGGCTGCTTGGAAGGCTGAGGCGGAAAGATCACTGGAACCCAGCAGGTTGAGGCTGTGGTAGACGTGAGTGTGTCACTGCACTCCAGTCAGGGCGACAGAGTGAGACTCCAACTCAAAAAAAAAGATGTATGTACTTTACTGATTCTGAGTTACAGTTTGAAAAATAAGTCCTAGGCCAGACACGGGGCTCACACTTATAATCCCAGCACTTTGGGAGGCTGAGGTGAGAGGATTGCCTGAACCCATGGGTTCAAGACCAGCCTGGGCAACTTGGCGAGACCTCATCTTTACAATTAAAAAAAAAAAAGCTGGGCGTGGTGGCACATGCCTGTAGTTCCAGCTACTTGGAAGGCTGATGTGGGAGGATCACCTGAGCCCAGCAGGTTGAGGCTGCAGTGGCCATAAGTGTGCCACTGCACTCCAACCTGGGTGACAGAGTAAGACTCTGATTAAAAAAAACAAAAACAAAAACAAAAATACAAGTCCTAACCAGTCTTGAGCAGGAAGCCATTGCTTTGTCTGGCAGAGTTGACTAGTATGGATGGGCTAAACAAAATTACCTATCCTTTCACAGAAGCAGATGGAACCAGGCGAGTTTGAAGAGAGCCTGGACTTTAATCTGAACTTGGAGAATCCTAGTGGGACCCTAATATCAATAACACAGGCCAAACCTGAATCTGGTGAGTGGTAACGGAAGACCCAAGGAGCCTGGAGATGGCGTAGGGGAGGATGGTGGATCTTTCAAGGCCTGAGACCTAGCTCCAATTCTGCCTTTAAAATGGCAGAGTCCTCATTTTTGTGTGCCAGCTCTGATGGGATGCTATGGAACCTAGCCAAATGCAGCCTGGAAGGAGAGTGGATTACAGGTAACATCTGGCAGAAAAACGTAAAAGTTCCTGAAACCCAAACTTCAGGGACAGAGTCATCTGTAGACTCAGAATTAGATACCAGCACGGAGAACTGGTCAAGAAGCCCAGATCTAAAGACCCGATGGCGTAGAAAGGTAAGTTTGAGGGAAGGGTCACAAATACAAGGGAGGAGGCTCTAGGTCTGACACAGCAGACTTTGGTGCTTCCTTAACTTAAGAGGGACTCTGAGAACTCACCATACTGCTCTCCCCTCCTCTTTGAGATTCATTCGGGCTCTGTCACAGCCCTCCATGTGCTGCCTGAGTTGCTGGTGACAGCTTCAAAGGACAGAGATGTTAAGCTATGGGAGAGACCCAGTATGCAGCTGGTAAGTGTGTGTGTGTATGTGTGCACACTCACATACACAACAGGGACTAAGTGGGGTTTCACAAGAGAGTAAACTTAGGGTAAGAAAGGGCCGAAGATCAAAATTCTGTTTTCTTCAAACTCTCTTGCAATAATGTACCACTGATCCATTTCTTTACAAAAAGCATTAATGTGAGAGAAAAGTTACTAAGGAGGCCCTAGGCTTGTAGCCCTCATGTCTTGTGTTTTTGTTCCCACTGTAGCGGGGCCTGTTCCGATGTGAAGGGGCAGTGAGCTGCCTGGAACCTTGGCTGGGTCCTAACTCAACACTGCAGCTCGCCGTGGGAGACATGCAGGGCAATGTATACTTTCTCTCCTGGGAATGAAAATGCACTACTCAGGGAAAATACGACACCACTTGTGCTAGAAATACAAAGTGTGAAGGCACCAGTAGCTGCTTTCTTAATAATTATAAAATTAAAGTGTCAGAACATCTCAGGTGCAAGCCTGCCTGTGTTCTCATGTGGATTTGGACCAGTAGGGAAGAATATGAATATTCTAACTTGTTTCTTTTCTAATTTAACATTATATCTTACTAGAACTACAAGAAAGTGAGCCAGATCTTTAGTAGTTACTCTTTGAAACCTGGCTTTAGAATTCTTGTGTCACTTGCTGGCCCCAGGGCCCTGAGATACCGTTCTTGCCAGGAGGAGGAACAAGAGTGATGCTGGATAGTTAGTTTGGATAGAGAGCTGAAGACCTTTCATTTGGTCAAGAAAAAATAAGGGAGGGATGGTGAGCCAGTTGTGCATCAGGGCATTTTGTAAAAACCAGGATAGAACAGGATGACACTAGGTTCCTCTCGTTGAAACAGCCCTTGCTCAGAACTAGCTGCCTAGATGAGAGCTGAGATGTCAAGGCACTGAAAGCAGGATGAGACTTCTTGCTTTCCCAGCCTCTGACAGGACAGTAGCAGCTACTTGACTTGCAAGCATTAGGCAATAGAGTAATTGGCATTCTCAGAAGAAATCACAGAAATGTCTGTCTTTCAAACTGAAATTCACAAAGATTAAAACTAGTTGGAAGGTGGCACGATCATCCCATGGACTTAAAATGGACTCTGATCTTTTGTTGTTGTTGTTAATTAAAAAATGTGTTTTTTCCTGAATGATTATGGGGTCTTGCTATATTGCCCACAGGCTGGTCTTGAACTCTTAGGCTCAAGTGATCCTTCTGCTTTAGCCTCTAAAAGTGCTGGGATTAGCCGGGCTCGGTGGCTCAGCCTGTCATCTCACGCCTTGGGAGGCTGAGGTGAGTGGATTACCTGAGCTCGCGGGTTTGAGACCCGCCCGGGCAACTTGGTGAGACCTCATCTCTACAATAAATCAAAAATTAGCCAGGCATGGTAGTGCGCGCCTGTGGTTTCAGCTACTCGGAAGGCTGAGGTGGAAGGACCGCCGGAGCCCAGCAGGTCAAGGCTGCGGTGGCCGGGAGCGGCCACTGCACTCCAGTCTGGGTGACAGAGTGAGACTCCAACTCAAAAAATCAATCAATCAATCAATCAGTCAATAAAAGTGCTGGGATTAAAGGCGTGAGCTGCCATGCCCAGGCAGAAGGATTGCCTGAGCCTAGCAGATCGAGGCTGCAGTGGCCAAGAGCATGCCACTGCACTCCAGCCTAGGCAACAGTGAGAATCTAACTCAAAAACAAAACAACAACAACAACAACAACAACAAAACAACCAAACAAAACTCATGCTACTTCTCTCTGCCTCAAGATATTTTTAGGCTTAGTGACAGTCCCCCAAGGGCTTTCCAGACTTTTGGGCATCTGATAAGTCCTCAGATGTTAAGTGGTGGGAGACCTAGTCTGCAGTTGATAAATGTGAAAAAGGCAAGTGAGAAGATTTGGACAGGAAAGAAAGCAACAACTCAGCCTTTGCTGCTTCTATCCTTTCTGTAATAATAACTCAGTTTGCAGAAAAACTGAATTCAACAGGGAAAAGTATTAGTCTCCATTAGAGTCCTTGAAGGCACAGACGTAGCTCAGAACAGGATTCTGAATAACCTGCAGCTAGCTGTGGGATACACAGAGCAATGAGTACTTTCCATCCTGGAAATGAAGATATACTAACAGAAGAAATACGTGCTTGGAGAGAAGTAAAGCTCAAAGAAGCCAATGATAGAATTGTACCATTTTTATTACATTAAAATTACAAAACGCAAAAGTACAGCTTATTTTCTTGCTTGAAGATTAGGTTTTTCTCTGGTTTAACATCAACATTCACCATAGCTGCAGGAAATTAAACTGAACCTTTAGAAGGTATCGCATACGGACCTGATTGGGGTTATAGACAATATATTCATTGTAGTTAAGGGTATAACCCTCTGGATTCACAATTCCTGTGTCACTTGCTGGTCCTAAGGGCACTGTACTCCCATTCCTGCCAAATGGAAAAAGGCATGTCAACATCAGCCTTTGGTTTAGAAGTTGGAATGGAGAAGGCAGAGTCTTATTGGGCCAAAAGCAGTCTCCTAGCACTTCTGGTTCTGAGTACTTACAGGGTGATGAAACAGGAAGGACTGGGAGCCATCTTGCCCAGTCCCTTGGTGCTGTGTTTGCCCTGAAGTAATGATTCTGCCTTAGGATTGGCCTCTAGTAGCTCATTACACTGACCTAGAGCTACCTGCAAAACAAAAGATCTTTGAATGCCCACATCCTACTGAGAATTAGTTGGCTCTAAAGTCAAAGAGAAAATCCCATCTGTACTTTCTTCCTCTAATCCAGCTGAGGAATCTAATACAATGGAAATTGCACTTGGCTCTCCTGTCAAGTTATCCCAGGTAGAACACCTTGGTTCTGGAGTCAAACTTCTCTCATTGGAATAAAAAGTAGAAATAAATAATGAACTATAGCTCACAGACATGTTTCTGCCTCACCTCTGATAAGAGCAGCAGTCCTGTATTCTTTAAGTGAGAAGCAAAGCAGTAATTGGCACTCTTGGAAGACATGTCAGCAAAGTAGATTCCTTTTCCAAACTGGAATTACAAATAAACACCAAGGTCAGTATCTAATTCACTGTGTTAGAAAGAAAGCTTATAGCACAGACCATTTTTCTACTCTCTTAAACACAATATAGACTCCTCCATTTTCCCTCACAATTCAGTTCCAGAGAGGGCAGAAGTTATCTATGAATTCCTGCTTTCAGAGAGCAAGAAGTATCTTCTAAAACTGAAAGAAGGGCACAGTAAGAGATGACAAGGTTGTCAGTGAGCTGGGTTAATTCCTGGAGAGGGATACTACCTAATCCTAATCTAGAAAGAAAGAAGACTAAGAACATTATTGTATCTTTTTCCCCTCTGCTCCCCCAGAGTTCAATTTTACTCACCATGTAACCTGTGATGGGAGCCTCAGGTGGGGCAACTCGAAGCCCACGGCTCAGGATTCCCACCCAGTTACTCAGCCTAGATCCATGCCACAGTAGCATCCTAAGGAAAAGCCATCATTATTGCACGCTGCAAACATAGGCCATATGCATAAAAAACCAACAGTGTCCTCTGCCACCCTTCTCATATTTCTGTACTGCACTTGGGGCAAGGAATGTCTTCTGAAACCCAAAGCTAGACCCATACCTGTTATGAAGGTCCTCTCTGAAGACTTCTTTCTCACCCTCTTTCTCTACTTCAAACACATCCAGCAAGGTCATGGTATAGTCACTGTGTGTGGGAGCATGGGTAGATTGTAAGTACTGGGAAATCACCTGTAGAAAATGGAGAAAATGGCTGATGTGGACTCCACAACAGACTGGGTTGAACCGAAGAACTCAGGGCTTCTGGTATAACCTGGCAGACCTTCCTGCTCCCAAATAGTCTCACAAGACTGTAAGAAAGCGTTCTACCTCCCCAAATTCCTAGTAAATAAAAATTCTGCCCAATTTGGCAATTTGCTCTTACTCAGAAGTAGTCAGAGAATAGTGGGATGGGGAGGGGAATCTTAAGGGTATAAGAATATGAAAATAAATGAACATTTTTTTCTTACTTTGAACTCATAACTTTCATGGTCTAGAGGGCACAAGGCACAATGTAGATTTCTATAGTGTTGATCCAATGGGTGTTCTGGGCTTTGTTGCTCTGTCTTTACCAACTTAATGGCAATTTCAATGTCTCCCAAAGCCTGACAAGATGAGACAGAGAATCAATGAGGGAGTAATCTGGAATGAGATTTAATACTTCTCAATTCATACATATCTCACCTCTAGTAGTTGTACTTTTTCTGACAGTTCCTTCTCTGTTCGGATTAGTGGGGGTGTACGGAGTCTAAAAACACAGATATGACCCATAATGAGCTCTATGAGGTGTAGCTAAAAAGCATATGACTAAAAATAACATATGAAAGATAAGTCCTTTAGATAACAGCTGTAGGAAACTGAGGTTTTCCATTTGAGAAAGATCTGTAAAGAGATCTGAACTTCCACAGGGCACACAGTGATTCATGCCTGTAATCCCAGAACTTTGAGAGGCCAAGGTGAGAGGATTGCCTGAGTTCAGGGTTCAAGACCAGCCTGGACAACTTGGTGAAACCTCACCTCTACAATAAATAAATAAGTTAGCCAGGCATAGTGGTGCATACCCATAGTTCCAATTACTTGGAAGACTGAGTCGGCAAGTAGCCTGAGCCCAGCAGGTCAAGGATGCAGTGTCTGTGAGTGTGCCACTGCACTCCAGCCTCCAGCCTGGGTGACAGAGTGAGACTCCAACTAAAAAAAAAAAAAAAAGAAATCTTTTATTCATTTATTCATTTACTTATTTTTGAGTTGGAGTCTTACTCCATCATCCAGGCTGGAGTGCAGTGGCACGTTCACGGCACACTCCAGCGTTGACCTGCTGGGCTCAGGTGATCCTTCTGCCTCAGTCTTCCAAGTAGCTGAAACTACAGGTGAGTGGTACCACGCCTGGCTAATTTTTTAAAAATCTATTGTAGAAATGAGGTCTTGCCAAGTTGCCCAGGCTGTTCTTGAACTCGTGGGCTTAGGCCATCCCCTCACCTCAGCCTCCCAAAGTGCTGGGTACAGGCTTGAGCCACAGCGCCCAACCTAAGTAACCTTAACTTCCAAATGTGTAAAGGAATATTAAATATATAATTTGAGTAGGATAAAACAAACTATGTAGATTTTGACATTTGGGACTAGAGCTGAAATTCTTTTTTATAGGATCTTTTAAAATAAGCTATAGCGACATTAATAAGGAATAGCTTGGATAAAGTCCTGTTTGGAAGTATAGGTAGACCTGTTGAGTACTCAGGATTATTTCTAGGACACAGGGCTCTATAAAGCAATTAGAGAAATAGAAATAGAATAAAAACAGAATACAGAATCAGCAAAGATAAAATGTATTTTAAATATCTATCATTTGAGATCATAAAAATGTTGTCAGTGTGGTTATAATTCACCTTAAAGAATAAGAAAAGGCAGTGATATATATGCCTGAAGGTGGTTGGATAGTCAGACTCATTCTCTCTTAAGCTGGTAAATTCCACTTGGTCAGAGAATATGGTTGTAATCAGGCCAGGAGATTACATCCCATGCTTGTAAGTTGATTAAATATGCTATCTATAAATCATTTTGGCTCTGTATCTGTTCAAGAGGATCATTTCTTTAGGAGTAAAAGATTTAAAACATTATGGCTGCTGTTGATTGATACAGGAAATATGTGTGGGTAGAACAAAGTGAAGTATTAGCACAGGCTTTACCCAAAGTCATGTGGAATCCTGGTGTAGAATTCACTGCATGCTTCCATGAGAGCTCGTCCATGCTGGCCAGACCGAATACAATCCTCAATCTTCTTCAGAGACTGGTAACCTGCCTTGATTTGCGCCACTGTCAGCTTCCCTGTAGGCCAAGCAGAGCTCAGACTCCAAGTTAGGATCCCATCTCACATTTACATCCCCAAAAGACCTTTCAGCTTTCAAAATGGTTCCTCCCCCCTACAACCTTTCACTCCAAGTCCTGTTTTTTTCATTCAGTATTTTCAGCAAGCATTAGATTATGATGGTGATAAAATATCCCATTAAAAGAACTAAAAGAATTGTGAAGACAGAATGTGGAACAGAATCTGAAATCCTACCAAGTGGAGCTTTCTTGGTATTATACTTCATTTCTATCATCATCTCTTCCATGGCCTGGACATTACAGATCAACTTTATCAGCTCCTGTACCCGAAGATCCAGCTGTGACTCTGTTTTCAAGGAAGACTTAAGAGATTCTTTTTTTGTTTTCTCTTCACCCTAAAGCAAAAACCAAACCAAACCAAAACTGTAGATTACTTATAATATCTACTACAATGTAAGTACTATGTAAAGTTCTTATACTGTATTGTTTAGGAAATAATGACAAGGAAACAAGGTCTGTACATGTACAGTACATAAGCAATTTCTTTTTCTTTAAAATATTTTCAATCCACAGTTGGTTGAATCCATGAACCCACAGATATGGAGGGTCGACTGAACTGGTTCTACCTCCCACAGTTATATACACAGAATAAGTTTAAAATGCCCTCCTCACAGTCATTAAATATGTAAAGACAGCTATTATGTCTCAAATCTCCTCAACTTAAAAATACTAAAATTTCTCCATTTTCCAGATATGTGGCAGTTTTTAGGACAGCTTTAGCATCCTGGCACACCTCAGTTTGTCAAATTTAATTTTTTTACTGTGGCAAATAAAAGACCTGCTGGGTTCAGGCAATCCTTCCGCCTCAGCCTTCTAAGTAGCTGGAACTATAGATGCATGCCACCATGTCCAGCTGATTTTTTTGCTTTACTGTAAAGACAAGTTCTTGCCAAGTTACCAGGCTAGACTCGAACCCGTGGGCTCAAGCAATCCTGAGTTATATTTAATGTAGTTTAACTGTGGTATATAACCAGAAGTTATATTAAGTGGAGTTTAACCAGTTTGATTTTTTATTACTCCTCTCTTGGTCTATAACATTAAACTTCTAGAAATAGAGCCTAAGATTTTATAAGAAGCTTAGTAAGTCACAGAGCTGAGACTAGAAAGGCACATTCTATTCTCATTCTTACCGCTCCTATGAGATTACCAAGATCAGTGAGAGTTACTCTGACCTGAAAAACAGCAAGGTCTCAAGTTACCCTGACCTGAGAAACAGCAAGGACTCAAGATAGAAGAGTTCCAGCGTAGGACTCATCTAAACCATCCTGCTAGACTTCATCGTGATTAAAAAGTAGCAGCTTTCTCCCTAAAGGTATAGTCAGAGTTTACCTGAGTATTGGTAGCATAGTCCATCTGTAGCATATCATATTTTCCAGGCACCTTCTCAAATTTCTCACGATCCTCCCAATTGTTTTTTGTTTTGTCAAGGAATCTGTAGAGCCCAAGATGGTGAGAAAACCTTACAAATAAAAGTCTACTACTAAGGATGAGCTTACAACTATTTCTTTTAAACAGAAAAATCTCCAAAAACTTTATTTCCCACCACAGAACTCCTTTACACAACTTTCTTTATTTCCCACCACAGAACTCCTTTACACAACTTTCCATAAATCTAAATTGATTCTAAATTAGGACAGTGAATGGCCAAAAAAAAAAAGTAAAAAGCAAAAAACAAAAAAAAAAAACTCCGGAGACAAAAGAAAATTTCTTAAAAAAAATTCTTTCTTTTTTTTTGTCGCCCAGGCTGGAGTGCATGGCACACTCATAGCCACTGCAGTCTTGACCTGTTGGGCTCAGGCAATCCTTCTGCTTCAGCCTTCCAGGTAGCTGGAACTACAGGCACGTACCACCATGCCAGGCTAATTTATTTGATTTATTGTAAAGAAGAGGTCTTGCCAAGTTGCCCAGTCTGGTCTTGAACCTCTGGCCTCAGGCAATCCTCTTGCCTCAGCCTCCCAAAGTGCTGGAATTATAGGCATGAGCACCATGCCCAGCCCCAAAATAATTTTTTAAATGGGGAAAAAAAGGACCCCTGGAGTTCCCAAAGGTCCCAAACACCACAAAAGTCATTGAGATTAGAAACAGAAGACACCCAACAACAGATGCTGGTGAGGATGTGGAGAAAAAGGAACACTTCAACACTGCTGGTGGGAATGCAAACCAGTGCAACCTCTTTGGAAGACAGTGTGGCGATTTCTGAAATAACTAGAAGTTGACCTTCCATATGACCCAGCAATCCCCTTATTGGGAATATACTCGGAGGAACTCAAGTCATTCTACCATAAAGATACCTGCACACGCATGTTTGTTGCAGCTCTATTCACAATAGCAAAAACATGGAACCAGCCATACTGCCCATCAAAGCTGAACTGGATTTAAAAAATGTGGTACATATACACAATGGAATATTATGCATCCATAAAAAAGGACAAACATATGGACTTTGCAGCACTGTGGATGGATTTAGAGTCTATCATACTCAGTGATCTATCACAGAAACAAAGAACAGAGTACCACATATTCTGACTCATATGTGGACCCTGAACAATTATCATAGTATTATGAGGAAGGGATTGGCAGTAATAGCAGGAAACTGCCAGGGGAGGAGGGGGTAGGATTGGTAGTTGAGGGAATCTGCCAGGGGAGTAAGGGGCATACCTCATCAACAAGGATACTTGCATAATGAACATTTGTACACCTAACCTGAATTGCAACCCCATCTTTAAACATAAAAAATAAATAAATAAATAAAAACAAGCCGCAAAATATTAAGTACTACATACACAGCAATATTAGTGCACTGGTGCTTTGGAAGTATCATTGGGCTACGCAAGTAATTTTCTGGCTGTAGGCCATTTGTATACCTAAACCTGAATTTTACCCCACATCTTTAACAGAAGACACCTATCCCATCCCTTTCCCTGAAAGAAAACACATTCCCAAAGACTCCAGAAAGTTCTTTATTCATATCACAGTAAAAGTTTTAGAAACTCTAGATGAATTTTCTGTACCCCATGATGGTCTCCACTTTCCCCAAATTTCCTAAATTTGTCTGTCATGTGTTAAATGTATTAGAGTCTTCTGTTTTTAGTCAATTTCAAGGCTCTAGCTTGACTTCATCACTAATCAAGGATGCAGTCTGTCGTTCCAATCACAGAGTGTCAAGAGTGGAAAGACATTATGTCAAATCACACTTATACAATTCCTAAAGAAGATACATCTAAGAAGAGGAGGGTAAATTTTTTATTCTTACTCATTTTTTAGCACTCACTTCTTCTGAAAGATTTCCTTGGCCTTGTTGAGGTTGGCTGAACAAGCCACCAAGCTGTGCTGCCCCATTTTCCCAACTGCAAAGTAAATACCACACATAAGATATCCAACCCAAGAATAGTAATGAGCCAGCTCTCTAAGGTCTCTCAGCTTAATATCTCATAAATAAGCATGAAAGGGAGAAAGGAAAGTAAAAAGGCTTTAGAAAGCTGATCATGCTGATACCTGCTAATTGCCAAAGTCTATGAGCACTAAGAGAAGTACAACTGCAGGAGAGTTCTCAGCTTCAATAGACAGATCTTAGTTTTTCCAATGGGAACTTCCTAATGAGGACTCGCCATCCCCTAATTTCAAGAAACTGAACTTTATTCCTAAGCCCTTCCCAGACCTCAGAGCCTCCATTTACCCAATTTAAACCCAGAGGACTCACTAGGCTACTTCTGTCTTTCTAAATGCCAACTCATCAAATCATGATAAAAGTCATCACCTCGGCCCCATCTCATCCAAACACTGAAGTTCCTCTGGTCATCATCTTCTAATAGCTGAATCAGATAGTACTTGTTGTTGTTGAACTGGAGATTGGTCTATGATGCGTGAGAGAAAAATGTACAAAAAAGGAGAGAATTTTGCAAATGGAAGTCACATAAACCAATGACTCTTCCTTAGTCACAAAAGTCAGTAGGTTCCACAAAGAAAAGGAGAGCAGAAGGCGAGAAAATCAGATTCCTGTAAGAGTAAAGATATAAAGAAAATATAGAGTTTATACATTAACTCTGGATTCTTAGGGATTAAAGCAAGAGTCTGAGAGCTTCTAAAAACCCTCTATCCAGCCTCATGTATCTTACACCGATTGGCTTGCCTGCTTTTTCCTGCCTCAGCTCCCTCCACAGATACTTTCTAGGCTATCTGTGTTTTCCAGCTCCCAATCCATTCCCAGTTATTTCCCAATGAAAGCAATTTTGATGCTCCAATGGTCTATAACTATTATGCTCATTTGTTTAGATGACTTTCCCTATTTTATAACAGTTCTACTTACAGTTTTGGTTTGTCAGAAATTTGACAATGAAGGACAATGTAGGGAGAGGACAAGAAATACACAGAAACCACAGCCACACCCTATCTAACCTGACCTGACTTGGAGATATTCAGAGAGAATATGTCCAGTAGCAAAGAGTTATCTGCAAGTAACTCGCTCAGAGAGAAGTCCATGATCAAGCACAGCAGCTAGTGCTGTAAGGCCGAACCCAGGATATTGAAGCACTCTGCTTTTTTAAGTACGCTGCCCCTTCCTACCTCTACCTCCTGCTCAATCACATTATAAAGTCATTGGATGACCTTAATCCATTGGTGGAAAAAAAAAATAAACTCACTGTATGTTAAAACAAAAAGGGGCCTTAAAATAACTTTCTGTCTCCTAATGATATTTTAAATGAAAGATGTAGTAACAAACGAATACTAATTAGCTGTTAAAATTATATGTTGGATCAACAAATTCAAATATGAAGTGATATCCAGGAAACATATTAGCCAGGTCAAAATATTAGCTATTCAAAACCACAAAAAAACGAATAAATTCTCAAATCTTGCTGGGGCCTAAAAAAAGAAAAAAAAATAGGCCGGGCTCGGTGGCTCAGCCTGTAATCCCAGCACTTTGGGAGGCCGAGGTGAGTGGATTGCCTGAGCCTGTGGGTTCAAGACCCTCCCAGGCAACTTGGTGAGACCTCATCTCTACAATAAGTCAAAAAAAGAAAAAAAATATATATAAATTAATAAATTTAACTACATACATATTTATTTAAAATTTCAATATGGGCAAAAATGATGTCATAAGGAAAACCAAAAAGCAATTTATATTATAGACAAAAGGCTATTCTCCATATTATATAAAGTTCCTCAAAACCAATAAGAAAAAGATCCACAATCTATTAGAAAACGTGCAAAAGGATGAGCGTGGTGGCTCACACCTATAATCCCAGCACTTTGGGAGGCCGAGGTAAGAGAACTGCCTGAGCCTACAGGTTTGAGACCAGCCTGGGTAACTTGGTTAGACCTCATCTCTACAATAAATCCAAAAAAAAAAAAAAAATTAGCCATGCCTGTAGTTCCAGCTAGTTAGAAGGCTGAGGCTGAAGGATCACCTAAGCCTAGCCGCTTGAGGATGTGGTGACTTTAAGTGTGCCACTGCACTCCAGCCTGGGTGACAGGGTGAGAACTCCAACTCAAAAAAAAAAAAAAAAGAAAGAAAATGGACAAAAGGATATGAGCAGAAAAAAGCATAGGTTCAATAAATGACATGAAATTTATAAAAAAGATATGCTTCTCATTGAGGATTTTGATATCAGATAAGAGTGTGCTAGGGCTGAGTACTCAGGTGTCAGTCACTAGTGGCTAATATAAGGGACTTTGGAATTAAAGACCTGGGCACTGGGGTGTTGTCATTGATAAACAGAAATTCCCATAAATAGAATGACTCCTCGTCTTACCTGATTTAGCATGACATCATAGACATCGCTTCCTTCACAATACACATGAGCCTAAAGATAAACACACACACACACACACACACACACACACACACACACACACACAAAGTGCCATTAGTAAAGCCTCAGCTTCGAGATCCTAAATTTTCTTATGGTTCAAGTTTTTCTTTTCTAGCACCATCAACATCCATCTCCCAGGGAAAGCATTGCAAACATATGTTCTACACATAGCCTGTTGTAACTAAAATGACAACATGCTGTCTTTTTCTTTAATATTTATTTATTTAAGGTGAAGTCTTGTGATGTTTACTTTTTCTAATTAAAGAAACACAAAAGATTCTTAATTAAAGGAAACCAGCTCTAGAAGCAGCCTTTCTTCTATGTTCTTCAAATTTTTTCCCCATTTATCAGTAACTCATGCCTTTCCAGGATACAGTTTCTCATTAGAACAACAGTTCTCCCTTGATATCTTCTGGATGAAAAAGACAATGAGGTGTGCTCTGATGGCAACCCCAGAAGGTAACCATGTTAAAATATCCGATTAATAGCCAGGCTCGGTGGCTCAGCCTGTAATCCTGCGCCTTTGGGAGGCTGAAGTGAGTGGATTGCCTGAGCCCGCAGGTTCGAGACCCGCCTGGGCAGGTGAGACCTCATCTCTACAGTAAATTAAAAAAAAAAAAATTAGCCGGGCATGGTAGCATGCGTCTGTAATCCCGGCTACTCGGAAGGCTGAGGCGGAAGGATCGCCAGAGAGGCTGCGGTGGCCGGGAGTGGCCACTGCACTCCAGTCTTGGCAACAGAGTGAGATTCCAACTCAAAAAAACCCAAAAAACAATCCTATTATTATTATTAATTTTCTTTTACAATAACATAGGTTTATATTTCAGCTATCTTGTTTTTTATTTTCTTTATTTCAATAGCTTGAGAGGTACAAATAGTTTTTGGTTGCATTGTATAGTGGCAAAAAAGTCTGGGCTTTAAATGTAACCGGGCCCAGTGCTGTAATCCTAGCACTTTGGGAAGCCGAGGCGAGAGGATTGTCTGAGCTGAGAGGTTCAAGACCATCCTGAGTAACATGGTTAGACTGTATCTCTATAATAATTAGCCAAGCATAGTGGTGCACGCCTGTGGTTACAGCTACTTGGAAGGCTGAGGTGGAAGGATTGCCTGAGCCCAGCAGGTCGAGGCTACGGTGGCCATGAGCTTGCTACTACACTCTAGTTTGGACAACAGAGTAAGACTCTAACTCAAAAAATAAATAAAATAAAATAAATAACATAAAAGTACCCAGCCCTCCCACCTCTGTAACGTGTACCCGACAGGTGATTTTTTTTGTCCCTCTACCTCTTTCCCTCCTTCTGAGTCTCCAATGTCCAGTATACCATTCTCTATGTCTTTGCAGTTCCTTAGTGTAGCTCCCAATTATAAGTGAGAACATGTGGAAACACCTTGATTATTAACCCCAAAACCCTACCTCAGCCTTGGAGAAAAGTAATCATTAGCAATATTTTGGAGAAGAATCCTAAAATGAATACTAGCAACATCCCAGACAGGAATCCCAGTAATAAAAGACCACTGCTCCCTGAGAAATCAACAGACTGAGGATCGGTTCTAGAGTCTCTTACCTTCCCCACCTTGGCTGTACACTCTGGGTCCACGGGAGCTTTGCCCTTTAACAGCAAGGCCTTCACAGATTCTAAGGAAAGACAAACAGGTACAGCATGGAAATCAAGCAGCTGTTGTAGTTAGGCAGAAACTTTATCATAATTAACTTTGCCCTCCTCAAGTAATCTTCTGCCTAAGCCTTAATCAGTATCAAACACATGAAAATAAAGTTTCAACAGCATAAATTAGTTTTGTGATATGACCAAAGGATAGAGAAACTAATTATACCCTAAAGGAAGGAAGACATAAGAGTCGGAAGAACAAGGTATCACTTTCCACTCCTACCAGAGACCCTCTTGCTAGCCTATGTCTTCTGTGGCCTACCACATTGCTTGTCTTCTGTCTTGTCTTTATTCGCCTTTCCTCCAGCCACAGGCATCTTTTTTACCCCGTGTCTCTGGCATTTGCGAGTTTTCTTGGTAGGATTAGAGTCTTCTGAAGCTGTGTTGCCATTACTAGCTCTCTTGGTTTCATTTAATGCTACAGAAGCTAAGGGCAAGAACAAAGAGCAAACAACAAATGAGTACACACTGAATGTGATATGTTGCAAATAATCTTTTAACAGCAAGATGGCATGTGCTGTAGTCCCAACTACTCAGGAGGTTGACACAAGAGAGGATTGCTTGGGCTTAGGAGATAGAGACAAGCCTGGGCAATTTAGCAAGATCTTGTCTTAAAAAAAAAAGTTAAAGATAAGTTTTGTAAGTTTACAAAGAAACAATAACAACTGCCACACCACTACTCTTGGGAACAGTCTGCATCATCCTTCCCAAATTGCTATTCTAAGCCACACGAAATTAAACTAAATTAAATTAAAAAGCTCACAGGCTCCTGTAAGTTTATAGCCTGAGGCATTAGTCTCCTAACCTACTCATCTCTTCTGTTTACTTGTGCCCCAATGCCTCCCCATACCTACCTCAAATCTGAGGTGGTATAAGATAATGGTAAGTAGAGTGCTCAAAGGTCTGTGCCAAACTAGTTTAGAGCCCAGCTCCGCTTCTTCTAGCTATGGAAACCTGGAGAAGTTATTTGCTACAACTTGTACCTCAGGTGCCTAAAATGTCAAATTCAGAGGATAACAACAGTACCTAATTTAGAGGGCGGCCCTATGCATTTAATAACATAATACACAGAGCATCTCAACAATTCTAAGACTCGCATTTTACGCTCTGGAATTGGGATCATCTCACAATAGATTACATACACAGTGAATCACAGTCCACTACTTTCAGCACTTCTCCTTCCTTGGTGGTATATAAAATAACGGTGTACCTTACGATTAACTTTTTAAAAGTGGATGATATTCGTTATTAACAACAGTACTAGCACATTCGTTGCTACAGGTCCACAAGCCTTTATCTACAATTCTGCAATCCAAAAAGCTCTGAAAACAGAAATTTCAAGTTTAGCGCCCAAATCATTTTGATAGCCAAGTGCAGGTCATGGGGACCTGGAAAGAGGGGGGCAGAGAGGGGGCACAGGGGACAACGGCACCATTCCTTCCCTGACTCCCGTCCCAGCATTCCGCTCCCAACACCGCGCTCCGAACCTCGCGCCCGGAGGCCGCTGGCTCTCCGCTTTCGCGCCGCCATGAAGCTGGGCCGCTGACGTCACCACCCGCTCCCAGGAACCGCGGGCCCAGCGACCTAGGACGCGAACACGCAGCGCGCGTGCGCACTGGCTAGGAGTCGCTCTTCCGGGATCGGGGAGGCACGCCCGGCTATATTTGCATGTCGCAGTGTATTGTGGGAAGTCACCGTCACCGTGAAATATCTTTACTTGTGAAGCCTTATAAGCTCTGTGTGGACCCACCCTCTCGCGTAGGGCGGAGGGAAGCTCATCAGTGGGGCCACGAGCTGAGTGCGTCACGTCACTCCACCCCCATGTCCCTTGGGAAGGTCTGAGACAAGGGCCAGAGGCGGCCCTAACAGGGCTCTCCCTGAGTGTCGGGGAGGTGAGTTCCCAGAGAACGGGGCTCCGCGCGAGGTCAGACTGGGCAGGAGATGCCGCGGACCCCGCCCCTCGGGGAGGGGCCCGGCGGATGCCTCCTCAGCCGGAGCTTGGAACAGACTCACGGCCAGCGAAGTGAGTTCAATGGCTGAGGTGAGGCACCCCGCCCCGGGGGCCTCATAACCCAATTCAGACTACTCTCCCCCGTCCGCTTTTGCAGAAAAAAACAGACTCAGAATGAATGATGTGTGAAACATGGAGAGCCTGGGGCAAGAAACCTACAAAGACGCACATCTCATCATTAAGGCTACCTGATGCCAACCCAGGTGAACTGGGGACCAAAGTGAGGTCCAAACTGTAACTGTACAATGACTATTTGTAACCTAACCCTGAATTGTACTTCACATCTTTAAAATAAAATAAATTTAAAAATAAAAGCTATCTATGAGAATGCAAATGTGACTAGTCAGGATTCTTGAACGTGGTCCTCTGGTACCTAGTAACAGGTCAGGTAACAGGTCAGGGGATCCCAAGTGTTTGACATGAGAATCACAGCGTACAGGAGCTGCACATTTAAGCAGACCCTCTGATTCAAAAACTGCGATGAAGGAATTACGTAAATTATTAATTTACGTCAAGTCTCACCGTCGCCCAGGCTGGAGTGCACTGGCATGATCACGGCTCACCGAGATCCTTCTGCTTTAGGGACTGCAAGATGCACGCCGCCCCACTGTTTGCTTTTGTAGAAATGAGTTCTCCCTATGTTTGCCTAGGCTGGTTTCGGACTCCCGGGCTCAAGCAATCCTCTTGCATAGGCCTCCCAAAGTGCTGGAATTCCAGATATGAGCCACTGTGCCTATCCCAGGAACGGTTTCTTTCTTTCTTTCTTTTTTTCCCTTTTTTTGGAGGAGGAATCTCATTCTGTCGCCCTGGCTGGAGGGCGGTGGCATACTCACGGCCACCACAGTCTCGACCTGCTAGGCTCAGGCGATCCTTCCGCCTCAGCCTTCCAAGTAGCTGGAATCACATGTGTGCACCAACCACCACGCCCGGCTAATTTTTTGATTTACTGTGGAGACGAGGTCTCGCCAAGTTGCCCGGGCTGGTCTGGAACCCCTGAGCTCAGGCAATCTTCTCACCTCGGCCTCCGAAAGTGCTGGGATTACAGACTTGAGCCACTGCGTCCGGCCTAGGAATGGTTTCTTAAGACAAAAAGTCTATAAGAGAAAAAAATTGATTGATTTGATTATATTAAGAATTTTTGTTCGTCGAAAAATGAAAAGTTTAGAAAGAAAAAACAAGTTTCATTATTTGCATGTGGTTTGATTATGAATATTTTAAAAATCCAGAAGAAACTGCAAGATAATTTTTCTACTTTAATGTGAAGGTTAGCAAGACTAGTAGGAAATAACATATAAAAATAAATTAAACCAGGTGTGGTGGCTCATGCCTGTAATCCTAGCACTTTGAAAGACCCAGGTGAGAGGATTGCCTGAGCCCAGGAGTTCGAGACCAGCCTGGGCAACTTGGTGAGCCCTCATCTCCACAATAAACCAAAAAATTAGCTGGGTATAGTGGCATGTGCCTGTAGTTGCAGCTACTTGGAAGGCTGAGGCGGAAGAATTGCCTGAGCCGAGCAGGTTGAGGCTGCGGTGGCCGTGAGCATGTCAATGCACTCCTCCAGCCTGGGTGACAAAGTGAGACTCCAACTCCAAAAAAAAAAAAAGAAGTGAGGACATCTGTCTATTTTTATGGATGGTTGTGCAAAAGTATGATTGGAAGGAAATAATATGCTCTAATGGTGGGGGGAGGTGCTCAGCAAGGCTTGTTTGTTCAGTTTCTTCTTAGCATCCCTGTGTAACACTCCTTCCCTCCAGGTATAGGGCCAGACACCTACCACATGAGGATCTTCAGCGAAGAAGGAAAGGAGAAGGTCAGGGAGTGACTTTCCTAGGTCTTATGTCATGGCCTGTTTTACGGAAGAAGAGTTGAGGGAAATACTAGTTTCTATGGCCCGCTTTAGTGGAGAAATGGGGAAAGAAAGGTCAGATTGTCTTTCCTGCTTCTGCTGTTTTCTCAATTTCCAAGATTTCACATTTGGGGGTAGCATTTCCTGTACCCCATCATTGACTAGGGCGACTTTAGACATTGAATGTTTTCAAGAGTGATAAGTATTTTTTGTTCCATTATCTTCATAAGTGCATACATATTTATAAGACAGTGTGTCTTGGTATTTGCCTAGGGAAATGCTCTCATACTTCATCTGTCTGTTATTTCATTTGCCTCCCTCCCCCTGCCAGGGTGACCAACCTTGTTTTGCTCAGACTAAGGGGTTTTCCGGATGTGGAACTTTCATTGATAGCACTAAGAAAGTCTCCAGGTAAAGGATGAGTTGGTCAACTTACTGTAGCAGCCAGATTGATCCTACCCACATTGGCCTTTTTCCACGGTGTCTCAAACATAATAGTCACATTTCTGCCTACAGGCTTTGTTCTCTCTACCTGACTTGATCTTTTTCCAGCTAACCAGATCAATCTCTTACTTCCTTCAGGCCTTCGTTAAAATGTCATCTTCTCAGTAGCAGTGGTATTTTCCTAGATATACGAATAAATAACATTACTCCCACCATCACCCTATATAGCCTCTTACTCTGCTTTATTTGGTCCTATACAAGCTGACATATATTTGTTTAGTTTTGGGGGTATCTGACTCCCTCCATTAGATAGTAAGCTCTAAGTGAGCAAGGGCTTTGTGTGTTTTGTTTATTGCTCTATAAGCAGTGCCTGGAACAGTATCTAGCTTTCAATGTTATTTGTTGAATGAGGCACTAAACAAGACAGACTGTCAAGCAGCAAGGAGTAAGTGTGATTTGAAATTGAGTGCACGTTCTGAAGGAAAAGTGAGATTTTATCGAATCTCATTCTCTTGAGAATTGTTCCAGAAAGAAACTCAGAATCCAAAAGATCAAGGATTAAAGGACACTAATAAGGTTTAAAAAGCTTTAAAAGTCCACGTGTATGGCTTTTTATAAATATTGTTTTATGTTATTATAAGTGAAGCAATTTCCCAAAAGGGATTAGCAAAATTATAGATTAGGAAGACCATTTAAGGGAATTTGCATGCATGTCTTCAGGAATAACTAGGAAAAGCGATGTTGAAGAGAGTCTTCTATTTTGCTACAACTTTGAAAGAAAATGATTCTGAAGAAGTACTAATTTAAAGCAGAGAGCCGGGCGCAGTGGCTCACTCCTGTCATCCCAGCATTTGGGGAAGTCTAGGTGAGAGGATTGCCTGAGCCTAGGGTTCGAGACCAGCCTGGGCAACTTGGCGAGACCTCTTCTCTACAATAAATCAAAAAATTAGCCGGGTGTGGTGGTGTATGCCTGTAGTTCCAGCTACTAAGAAGACTGAGATGGAAGGATTGCCCTGAGCCCTGCAGGTTGAGGCTGCTGTGACTGTGAGCATGCCTGGGCAACAGAGTGAGACTACAACTCAAAAATAAATAAATTTAATAAATACATAAAGCAGAGGGATATAAAACTTATTCAAAGGGGAAAAGTTGTAGCTCAGAATTGGGGTGAGTGGTGATGAGCACCTAGAAAGTCAAATGTTTAGAGTTCAGTGCCCATTTATTTGATCTTTGAATCCTATTATTTGCTGCCTTAGGAACTTAGGGTCTCCTACTTTCCTCTTTTCACCCCTATATTGAAATCTACTCTTTGATCTCTATAGTTTGAGGAGGAGTTCTGTTTTATTGTTTAAACATGAACACATTTTCCTTGTAAAACATTGCAGGTATTAAAACAAACCAAAACAAAAAACTCCTCTTTCTATTCCCTCCATCTTGCTCCTAGGAGTAAACTCTTATCAATTTGGTGTGTCTCTTTCCAGATTGTTTTCTTTTCATTCACAAAGATCTGAACACACAGAATTATCATATTTTATTTTGGGGTTGGGTTTGGGGAGCATTGTTACACAAATGTGAGCATATTGCATGTATTATTCTGCAGCTTTGCTTTTTTTCTTTAATACGCATTGACGATCTCTCCATGTCAGTATATGCAGATCTACTTTATTCTCTGTAACTACTGGGCAGTATTTCATAGAATAGTTGTATCATGATTTAATGATTCCCCTTTGGATATACAGGGGTGTTTCTAATTATTTTGGTGTTACAGCCAGTGCTAAAATGAACATCCTTCCTTGAACATGACTTTTTATGCAAAATATTTCTCCAAGATGGATAACCAAATGCAGACTTGCAAAGGGTATGCTTAATTTTCCATTATGGACAAATGGCTGTTCTTAGATTCTTCATTTAAAATTTTTATTTATTTATTTTGAGTTGCTGTCTCACTCTGTCACCCAGGCTGGAGTACAGTGGCATGCTCACGGCCACCACAGCCTCAACCTACTGGGCTTAGTTGATCCTTCCGCCTCAGCCTTCCAAGTAATTGGAACTACAGGCATGTGCCACCATGCCCAGCTAATTTTTTTAATTTATTGTAGAGATGAAGTCTCACCAAGTTGCCCAGGCTGGTCTTGAACCCATGGACTCAGGCAGTCCTCTCATCTTGGCCTCCTAAAGTGCTGGGATTATAGACATGAGCCACTCTGCCTGGCCAGATCCCTCATTTTGAATAAGTTATAAATGAAAAGTTTTTAGATAGTGCTACCTTTTCCAGGAGTTTATTTTAGCTGTGGTAACATCCTTAAACGGCAGTAATTAAGTCAATGTTCTGCAATGGGTGAGCCCCAAGTAAATCCATCAGAGGTACCTGAGGGTACTTATTAATGTATATATTGCTGAATCCTATTTAGTCAATTAGAATCTCTGGAATTTTGTCCCAGGAATCTACTTTTAAGCAATCTCCAAGTTGTATTATTGTGCACAAAATTTTGATGTTACCAGCTGGGGAGAATTTCATAATGGATTGTTATGAGTATTAAAATCTGGAATAAGTGTTAGACATGGGAACTTTTTTTTTAAAGACTATTGTGCTTTCTGGGATCTTCTGAAAGCACACAATAGGAGGCAGTACAAAGTGGTGATCGAATTTGAGCTCTCAGGTTGGATGACTGATGTCTTAGTCCGTTTCCTGTGCCTTATAAGAGAATATCAGAAATGATGTACTTTATTTTTTAAAATGAACTTATTTCTTGTAGTTTTGGAGGCTGAAAAGTCCAAGGTCAAGGGGTGAACCTTCTTGAGGTGAGAACTTTTTGCTGAAAGGGACCTTCTGCTTTGTCCTGAGATGAAACAGGGCATGACATAGCCCGGGTGTTGAGTATGCTAATATGCGATCTTCAAGTCTCTCTTCCTCTTCTTACAAGGCCAAAGGTTCCACTCCCATGATAACTTATTAATATATGCCTTTTAATCCATTAATTTGTGAATGGATTAGGGCAGAGCTCCCATGATCCAATCACCTCTTAAAGGCCCAGCTCTCATGAGTTTAAATTGCTGTCACATCAGGGATTAATGAATTTTGGAAGGGACATTCTGACTTTACCACTTACTCAATAGACAAGTTATTTAATCTCTGTAACTGTGGTTTTTTGGTAAAATGGTTATAATGAGAGTGCCTACATTCTTAGATTATTATGAAGATTGAATGAGGTAATGAATGTAAAGTGCTCAGTACCATTCCTGGTTTCTAGTAAACATTCAATAAATGTTTTGACTCTAGAAGTTACTTTTAAACAAATCAATTATAAAACAACAAATGGTTAGTTGATACTGAATGTTGGGAGATTTGGGGCAGATAAACTCAAGCGGATTGGAATGGATAGTAATTTTTAGTAAGGTGAAAGCAGGCAGGCAGGGAGAATAGCATGAAATTATTAAAAAGTAAGAAGACCTACTGTGAGTTATAGGTTTTTTTTTTTACTTTTTATATAATAATACCTGTAATCCTCATACTTTTCTTTCTTTCTTTCTTTTTTTTTTTTTTAGAGACAGAGTCTCACTATATTGCTCAGGCTGGTCAAGTGATCCTCCTGCCTTGGCCTTCCAAAGTGCCGGGATTATAGGTGTGAGCCACTGCACCCAGTCCATACTTTGAATACATGAACATTATATGTATATTTGTGTATATATATACAAATATTGTACTTTCTGGGATCTTCTGAAGGCACACAATAGGAGGTAGTACAATGTAGTGACTGAATTTGGGGTCTCAAGTTGGATGACTGGTGTCTTAGTTTTCTGTGCCTTATAACAGAATATCTGAAATGATGTATTTTATTTTACTTTATTTTACTTTTTATTTTAATTTTTGAGTTGGAGTCTTACTCTGTCGCCCAGGCTGGAGTGCAGTGGCATGCTCACGGCCACCGCAGCCTCGACCTGGTGGGCTCAGTTATATACTCTAATAATATTTCTTAAAAATCATGATGAATATTGTGCCAGTGAGTCCTCTAATTATGGATTAAAAGCTATCCTTACAGAGTGAGAAGAACATGTACATTAATTGGAGGGAGATGCGAGGAGTCAATATAATCTATTAATCAATTATGTCCTCAGCACTGAAGGTCATTGTTTTGGTCCAGAGATGTGTAAAACACATTCCTTATTCTCTAGTTGTTTATAGTCTATTCGGGAAGCTAAAGCTAACAAGAAATTATGTAATAACAATAATAACTGCTAGTATGTTGTTGAATACTATGTAGTAGGTATTGCACTGGGTGCATTTCATAAATTATTTTGCTTAATCCTCACAATAATCATAGAAGGAAAATGTTATTTTTGTCTCTTTTTATAGCTGAGGAAACTGAAGTTTAGATGTGTGCAAATATAATGGCAAGGCTCAGATTCAAAATCAGCTACATTTTACTTTCAAGCCTAAACACTTAACCACCTATCTTTTTTTAAAATTTTTTTTGAGTTGGAGTCTCACTCTGTCGCCCAGACGGCAGTGCAGTGGCCGCTCCCGGCCACCGCAGCCTCGACCTGCTGGGCTCTGGCGATCCTTCCGCCTCAGCCTTTCAAGTAGCTGGAACTACAGGTGCACGCTACCACGCACGGCTCATTTTTAACAATTTATTGTAGAGATGAGGGCTCGCCAATTTGCCCAGGCGGGTCTCGAACCGGCGGGCTCAGGCAATCCACTCACCTCAGCCTCCCAAAGCGCGGGATTACAGGCTGAGCCACCGAGCCCGGCAACCATCTATCTTTTTCTGAAAAACAATTTATTTTAAATATGTGTGGTGCAATTCAGGGTTAGGAATAGGTATACAAAAGTTCATTATGCAGGTACCCTTGTTGATGAGGTGTGCCCCCCAACCGCCTTTTATCCACTAAGCCTTTTAGCTCAAAGGTTACGGTGAAGGTAAATTCTAACTTGAATGGATCCTAGACTGTTTATAGTGGAACCTGTTACCTTGCATAAATTATGCTGAGATCACAAAGGATAAGAAATTATCCTCGGCCGGGCTCGGTGGGTCAGCGTGTAATCCCAGCACTTTGGGAGGCCGAGGTGAGTGGATTGCCTGAGCTCGCGGGTTCAAGACCAGCCCTGGCAAGTTGGCTAGACCTCGTCTCTACAGTAAATAAAAAAAAATGAGCCGGGCATGGTAGCGCGCGCCTGTAGTTCCAGCTACTTGGAAGGCTGAGGCGGAAGGATCGCCAGAGCCCAGCAGGTCGAGGCTGCGGTGGCCGGGAGCGGCCACTGCACTCCAGTCTGGGCGACAGAGTGAGACTCCAACCCCACCCCCCCCAAAAGAAGAAGAAATTATCTTCAAGAGACGACATTATTTGGAATAGAATGCAGTAGGCTTATCTAAACAAGAAGGTGTATAAATAGCTTAAATTAGCCTATGTTTGCTTATGGTAAGTACATTAACCCTGAAGGAAACTTGCTTTAAGAAGTTCAGTCTAGTCGGGCTCGGTGGCTCAGCCTGTAATCCCGCGCCTTTGGGAGGCTGAGGTGAGTGGATTGCCTGAGCCCGCGGGTTCGAGACCCGCCAGGGCAGGCGAGACCTCATCTCTACAATAAATCAAAAAATCAGCCGGGCGTGGTAGCGCGCGCCTGTAATTCCGGCTACTCGGAAGGCTGAGGCGGAAGGATCGCCGGAGCCCGGCAGGTCGAGGCTGCGGTGGCCGGGAGTGGCCACTGCACTCCCGTCTGGGCGACAGAGTGAGACTCCAACTCAAAAAAAAAACAAGAAAAAAAAAGAAAAAAAAAAACAAGAAGTTCAGTCTAAAAACAGCGCTTGAAGCATCACTGGTCCATAAAGAGACGAGTGGGTGGAGGAGCGGGTTACGTCATCTCAGCACCTTTTAAGGTAAAGAAGGAGGGAAATCCTTTTTGAACTCATTAGCCAATCAGGTTCTGAGGCCACTTCCCAAGGCCACTTCCTGTCTCTCTACTTTCTCTCTTCGTTTTGGTGGGCTGGTGAGTGGTGTGCTTAATTTTGCTCTTTAATTGTTGTGAATTTCTCTTCCATTTGAGCTACACACCGAGCGGGAAGGCGTTTATTTTGAACCAGCATCAGCGAGTGTGTGAGTTGCAAGGCGATTAATTTCGGTTGTGTGGAGATTGGCGGAAGGCAGTGAAACGCTCTGCCTGGCTTGTTTCCACGTGGGCCTCTGCAGTACTGGGTTTGCCTTCCTTCCCCCAGACCTGGTGAACCAGGAACAATAGACTCCGCTTCATGTGCAGAGTGCTTGTGTTCTTGGAAAAGGTTCAGCTTCATTTTGCTTGAAGGATATAATATTATTACAATACTGTTCTGATGTATATATCCTTGTGTGAAGCTGGATCTTGGGAGGAGGAGTTCAGCCCAGTAAATTTTAATTCTCGGATGAGTGTCACTGGGCCCAGGTCCTTACTAGATTTATAGGATTGTCTTAGCCCTGGTCTTTGCTCAGAGCATTTCGATTTCTTGGTGAGACTGGGCAGCAAACTCTAAAGATATGATTTTAGTGAACCCTGAGAGAAGCTCCTAATTTTAATGTTTCTGCTGTGGTGAGTCTTCTAGAAAGCTTACGATACACAGAAAAAGATCAGAGACCATAGTTTAGTGCAAGCCTAGATTCAAATTCCAGCGCCACAGGCTGCAACTCCCATGACCTTGGGAAGAGGCAGTGAGCTATTCTGAGGCACAGCTTGAGAAGATCAAATAAAATTTATAAAGGCTAGGCACTAGGCTTGTAATAAATATTAGCTACCATCTAGAAGTAAGCAATATTTATTTGCCGTAAATATTTTGGTTGTCTTTTTTTCTCAGGAAGTTTTGTCTAGTGACCTTGAGCATAATTGCAATGTGTTTCTATTTTTCTCTTTGATATATTAGTTTGCATGTAATGTATGTGTTGGTTATCTTTACAGGCAGAAAGTGTGAGAAAGGCAAATAATAAATTAGGAGGAATAGGAACGTAGTAATAGGCATTTGTAGGCCTCTCATAATTTTTATAATTCTCAAGCTGTATTGTTAATGTTATCATTTGAATAGATGATACATTCACATGGTTCAAAATTCAAAAGGGATCAAATGTGTATGTAATGAAAAAGCCCTTATTCTTGTTCCTCAGCCACTGGATTCTTACCAATAAAAAAGCATTAACCACTTGTGCATCCTTCCTAAGATATTTTACACACAAGCAAATACGTGTACCTACCCTTTCCTTTTATATGTGCCTACCATGTACCTTACTTTTTTTCTTACTTTTCACATTTAAGAGTTTTGTGAGTAGAGTGACCTCATTCTTTATAATGGTGACATAGTATTCTAATGTATGCACATAACATAATTTATTTAGCTTTCATTGGTAGACATTGAGGAAGTTTACAACCTTGATATTCTCTCCAAATGAATCACCTTGTATGTAAGTCAGTTGGCACATAGACATTTCAGTTGGGTTTTGATGTATTAGTTCTCATTTAAAAGGATTTTAGGTATTGCACAGAGCTTCCTATTCCTCCCATTTTGTGTACATAGTGATGATTAGAAACCAATCAATGCTCTCAGTATCTTGATTAAACAGTAAAGAATTTTCACCAAAAGCAAATCCATTCTGATGGCCTTTATGTGAATACATCTTTGCCCACTTTGGTTTGAATAAGAGGATGGTTTATTTTGTTATAAGCGTATATTTAATGCTGGGAACCAGTGACAGCAGTGACCCTAAACAATTACGTTTTTTTCGTATGACAAGGGCAGGAGAGGCATGCTTTCAGTGTTTAGAGAATGTGTGCTGGATGGCTCCCTGAAATTACGGGTGTTGAGGGAGTAGACTCCTTTAAGCATTAATTAAGAAAAGCTGAAGTGTTTTTTAGGATATAAGCATGCAAAATAAAAAAGGAAGAAGCCTTTGGGAATTTTTCCAAAGTGGTTTACTTTAAACCTTAAGAAACTTAGTTTATGTCTTATGAAACATCTAGTTTTTCAGTTGGGAGGTTTTGCTGATTGGGCAGAAATTAGGTTCTTTCCAATGGGAGCATACTTTTGCTTTTAAGAAATAACTATATAGGATACAATGGAGTCTTCATTGTTAAGTAGGGAATGAGGGGATGGGGTATGTAAGTGACTGTCTTTTTTTGCCCTTAAATAACAAAAGATCTTGGAGTTGGAAGGAGGCTTATAAGTACTATTTGAGTACCTTTCTGGTTCTGGGTTATTATGGAAAGTGTGACATTTTAAGGTAGAATATATGCATTCCTACTCAGTAACTGGTTGAGTTTGATAAATAATAGGAACCACAAATTCAATATTTAACTTCATGCTAGCTACAGTGCACAGTATATTTATCATCTCATTTAATCTTAATAGGCGTTCTAAGATTACAGAGGGGGCAACCCAGGCTTGGAGAAGTTGTGTAACTTGCCCAAGGTCACAGCAAATGTGTGGGGGAACCTGGATTAAAATCCAGTTCTGACTTAAAAACTCATTATCTTTGGGAATATAAATTAGTATAGCTAACAATATGTAGGTTCTTAAAAAAGTGAAAAATAGAATTATATGATACTGGGTGTGGTGGCTCACGCCTATAATCCCAGCACTTTGGGAGGCTGAGGCAAGAGGGTTGCCTGAGCCCGTGGGTTTGAGACCAGCCTGGGCAACACGGTTCAAAAAATTAGCCAGGTGTGGTAGCACGTACCCATAGTTCCAGCTACTTTGAAGGCTGGGGTGGAAGGATCACCTGAACCCAACAGGTTGAGGCTACGGTGGCCGGGAGTGTGCCACTGTACTCCAGTCTGGGTAACAGAGTGAGACTCCAACTCAAAAAAAAAACAACAATTATCATATGATTCAGAAATTCAACTTCTGACTATATATTCAAAGGAAATAAAATTGGTATGTTAAAGAGACATCCACACTCCCATGTTCATTGCAGTTTTAGTCACAATGGTCAAGATAAGGTGTCAACCTAAGTGTCCATCAGCGGATAGATGAACAAAATATGATATATGTGCATAGCATGGTGACTATAGTTAATAATAATGTATTTTGTATACTTGAATGTTGCTAAGAGAGTAGATCTTAAGTTTTCTTACCCCCCCACATGGAAAGTGAGGTGATGCTCATGTTAATTAGCCTGATTTAATAATTTCACAATGTGTGTGTGTGTGTATATATATATATATATATATATCTCAAAACATCACATATGCCAAAAATATATGCAATTTTATTCATTTTATTAATTATACCCTAATAAAGCAGAGGAAAATAAAATACAAAGAAAAGCCATTATCTTAACCACTAAAGCTAAGTTTCCTGCCATTTAATCTTTAAACCTTATTTACATACCTATAAAAATGGAGATAACAGTACTTACTTTTTTTTTTTTTTTTGAGTTGGAGTCTTACTCTGTCGCCCAGACTGGAGTGCAGTGGCTGCTCGCGGCCACCTGCTGGGCTCCGGCGATCCTTCCGCCTCAGCCTTCCGAGTAGCCGGCATTATAGGCGCGCGCTATCACGCCCGGCTGATTTTTTGATTTATTGTAGAGATGAAGTCTCGCTGCCCAGGCGGGTCTCGAACCCGCGGGCTCAGGCAATCCACTCACCTCAGCCTCCAAAAGGCGCAGGAGTACAGGCTGA